GTGTTTTCCCACTTAAATGCTTTTATTTAAAAAATGGCGTCGAAAATCACCTATTTTAAATACAATCTAGACAACTTGAGCTTTTAGAAAAATTGCCACACGTAAAATCGGAATAAGTTTACTAGAAAAAACGTGTCCACAAACTAGAACAAAGAACAAAGAAAAAAAAAAAGAAATAAACATCAATTTAAAACCAATAGCTTACTCGTTACGCTCGGATTCTAAAATAATTTATTTTAATATAAATTAGTAGTACATCCAATTGTGCGAAGTATGCCCGTCTTTTTAAACTGACTCCCGACTATTTTAGTGGAGCGAAGAAGCTTATGGTTTTACAAAGATGTTTATTTTTTTTATCTGTGTGCAACTTTTCTACCAGAAAACTTGCTATCTTTAAGTGTAGCACTTTTTTTGAAAGGAAATCGTTGTGGGGAGTTACTTTAGAGAACTCATTTTTCGATTTCCCCATCAAATTTGAAAAACCCGAAAAAACGTCGGAAAACTGGGAAAATCAGTACAAAATTAAACAAATATTATTAAAGGAAATACATAAAACCTATTTAATTATTTTACTATAATATGACATATATACCATGGTATATATATGGTATTGTTAACAAAGCATCACTATCAACTGAACTCCGGTCAGTTTTTTCGTAAGCAGTGGTTTATCGTTGCTTACAAGTATACTTTAAATTACCTACAACAGTGGCTGCACCCATCGCCATTATTCTAGAAAGTCTATTTTCAATTCTATCTATAAAGTAACTATATACAACTTTTTACAGGTTCACAGTGAAAAAACCATTTTCCAATATTTCCAAAAAAAATAAAATAAATAACTTTATTCTGATTAATTAACTATCATTTATCGGATAACAAAACTATAAATCATAGACAGAATATAATAAATAAAACATTAGATATGGGCCTCCTAATATATATATTATAGTGACTTAGCTGGGTATTTACTACAGGCAATCTTGAATTTATAATGTCTTATAAATTTCTTTGCACACACGAACCACTTAAATAGGTAATTCAATTAAATGAAATATGTGCCCAAATAAGATTGTCAAATACGCCCCAACACTTCCATCAATGTAATTCCTTGATAAGAAACGCGCTTACAACATAATGAATGAAAATCACATAATACAATATGATTTGAATCATGATGTAATATCAGTGGCATTTTTATAAGGGGGGAGGGAATCCAGGGAATCGATCCCCCCCATAGGCTGTTTATAATATGCAAATAATTATAGTAATATTATTTATTAATTTTTTTTTTTTTTTAATCGATTATTGATTACATTAATAGCAAGAATTAAAATATTGTGTATATATTCGAGTTGGTATCTGGTTAGTGACTACACCACTGTGATTCCATAGAGATAGACTTGTGATTATGGGTTCCCCTAAAGTGATAAGAGTGATTTGACGACGGTGAAAATCAAGAAAATTAGATTTTGTATTGTATCATTTTATTTGTGATAGGTATTGAATATTATTTTAATAAAACATTATATAATTTTAATAAGTTATTATATTTTATGGAAACTTTGAGGAATAAGGAGTCGGAGCCCCCTGGATAAAATCATATCCCCCCCAGACAAAAATCTAAATACACCACTGTGTCATGTATATAATACAGGAATGTGTCTATCTTTTAGATACTGAGTGGAACGAAGAAGCTTATGGTTTTACATAGATAAGAATATGGATTTACATGCATACATTTTTTTTTTTTACCTATACGCATCTTTTCTATTAGAAGACATGCTCAGATTTTTATGTGTAGCACCTTTTCTGAAAAGAAATCTATGTGGGGAAGTACTTTAGAGAGGTCATTTTTCAATTTTCCCAAGAGTTTTCCCAGCAAATTTTAATCGGGATAAAACATGGGAAAACCAGGAAAAACGTCGGAAAACTGGGAAAATCGGTTCAAAATTAAACAAATATTATTGAAATACATAAAGCCTATTTAATTATTTTACTATAAAACGACATATATATTGTTAACAAATCATCACTATCAACTGAACTCCGCTCAGAATTTTTTCGTCAGCAATGGTATTTCGTTGCTTACAAGTATATATTAAATTATCTATAATAGTGGCTGCACCCGTCTCCGTTATCCTAGGACATCTTTTTTAACATGTAAGTAGTCCTGAAATATTTTGAAAATACTATTCTTGTAAAGAGTTGTCTGTATGTACTCGAATAATTATTTTGATCAAGTAGTTACCTTTAAAAATAGATTTTTTATCCGGGACTGCATTTGCATTAATTTAAAAAAAAAAATAAATTGATCATAGACCAATATCTTACATTTCAATCCGTATAATTATTCGGCTCACGCAAGTAGGTGGTAGAAAAAAAATGTCATTTATTTCAGACGGGAATTATACGTTTTGATGAGAAAACGCACATCCATATATATATATATATATATATACGTTTAATGACTTTCTGAGCGTATATAGTTTATTAGATTCTCGACATTTCAAAGACCCTGTCGGAGTCGACTATACGATGTTATGAAATTCCTCATTTCCAGTGCATTCCATTCGGTTTTATTTATAGTATTAATTCCTAACATTCCGAAAATTATACGTGACTTTACCGTCAACGTTCAGTATGATCCGTATTAATGTAATTTTAAACGACAATATCTGCACATATAAATTATTATACATACATATATATATATATATAAAATTAATCGCAGCATTCTTAGGGTTTTGGGTATAAAAAAAATATAATAAAGAGACAAAATCGTGGTTAAAATTAAAATATATATGAATATTGTGTGAAACCTAGCTGCCTAAGCCAGAAAATTATTAAAATGGAATGTGACTTATTATGTTTATTCCAGATATATTTCATAAATTAACAATGCAATTATAATAATGTGATTGATTAAAACTTACAAGACACCAGTGATAAATCCTAGGGGAAGTGTGGAGTTGAATTCAAATATTTTTTGTTTTAAATAAATCTACTGTTTTTTTTTATTTTTTTTTTTAATATTTATCCAAGTCTAAATTCAAAGAATTATTGACCTAAATAAATAAATAAATACCTACCTACTTTATTAAATAAAATGTTCAATTTTCAAAGAGTATTTTATTCATAAATAATCCTAAAAAATCACTAAGTAAATTCTAATGCTCACAATTTTCTAAATATTTTTATTAAAATATATCTATACAGGATTCACTCAACTGGAAACACTCATTAACTTGGAAAGTATTAACTTTTTAAAATATTTTTTTTTTTTGTAAATTAACACTTATAACTTTCTGAGATAATCAGTATTTTCAGTTGAATGACTCACCCTGTATATGCATATATGTGTGTATAGATATATTATGTATACATGTACCTATATATAGATATAAAATTATGTTTATATGTATGTGATAAAAGATGTTTCCTTCTTAACTTATAATCCTAAATAAATTTTAATGCATGAGATGTATCATTAGATTTGTTTTGTGGACTATTATAGTAATTTAAAAATAAATTGGATTGTTTAAAATAATCAAAAATGTATACATTATTAATATTTTTAGTTAAGAATACTAAAAAAATAGTACCATGTACTATAAATACTTTAACACAATAGTTTAAATATATTATTTTTTTGTATTCTCTTTACAAAAACTATCATGCCAATATACTTTTTGTATATTATGTACTTTTAAAATAGTAATATACTCCAAAAACACATTTTCGAGTTTTTAATACAAGTAAAATTCAAGAAATTTTGCTTCAACAATGTTATAGAAATTTCCTATGTCATTTTTGATCTGGTTGGTGTATTCAAGAAGTTTTGATTTAATTTTTAGTTTTTTTAATACATTGAAAAGAATTGACAATTTTTGTTGATGTTTAGGTTATTTAGGTAACAAGGGAAAAATACAAATAATAATACTCTGTTCTGAATTGTTTTTCATTAGCAATGGACTATCAAATCTGTGATAATCTGTGAAACTAAATTACTCTATATTGCCTCTCTTACAATTGACCTCATAAAACACTTATCAGTATTTTTCTTTTAATATAGAAAATGTGCATGGTTTATAATTAAGTTGCAATAATAGTTGTATAATATTTTAGATTGTTAATCTGTTTTATTTCTATTTTTAAATTTTGCCCTTCATTAAACATTATTTTTATAGGTATCAAAATGTTTAAAAAGATTTCATTAAAAACCCCCTAAAATATGCATAGTCCCAATAAACATCTAAAGGATAAAACTTATTTCTTTTGTACACTGTCTGATCTTCAATTTAAAATTGTTCATTTAAAAATCCAAAATCTATATGTTCAACTATTTTTTTATAAATTTGTAAATTTAAATAAAATGTATATTATATATAATTATAAGTATATATGAATATTATCTGAGTATAATATGTATGTATAGTAATACCAATAATTTCCAACATACTTAAATCATTTGTAATGCAAAATTAAAATAATTAGATATGTTAAAATGCCAATTATTACAAGTTACATTTGTATTTTAAGTCCCTCAATAATACTTTATGAACTATGAATTTCTGCTTATTACATATTTCTAATACCATAGTAGACTTACCAATTATCATATTAAATCAATATTAAATGTTAAATGGTTTCATAAATTGTCAAGAATTGCTTAATTTTATACATTTTTATGTCCTTTAATGACTAACTAGGTTTAATTATACTTTTCACAGTCACTTGCACCAACATAACTATATGATAAATGCTCATTTAAATAGATCCATTAGATTAGTAAATGATCCCCAAGTTGGTTTTTTTAATTTCAACTCTATTCAGCCTTTCTGTATTATATAATTATATATTATCAGTAACTACATTTATGTTTTTATTATACTCATTAATTTATAGTATATTATTATTTTTCTACTGTTTCCTAATGAATTACTTGTTACTCTATTTTTTACTATAATTATGGATTAGTCACACCAATTTATATTCATAACATATATTGGGCTTAGTCCATTTAATTTAAATTACAATAACTAAATAAATTATAGTAGATTAACGGTATAATAAATTAATATAATTTGATATTTCAGTGTTAGAATAATATTATATTTTAATTTATAATTACATGCAATACAGTTTATTTTTCTATTAAGAGAATTCAAGTGAATTTCCATTTTCAATTCGACGAAGTAATATCTCTGATACTTCATTCCGCTTTAATACAACTGGTTTAAAATTGGGATCAAAACATAAAATTTTACAAGCTTCCAGTAATCTAAAAATTGTAATGATTTTATTTTTATTTTAATATATTAAATTTAAATTATTGTTACCGCTGAATATAAATATTTGGATTAACTGTATATTTTGAAATAATTGGAATAATTTTATATTTTATATCCAAGTATAAATGTTGAGCTCCACCATTATTAAATATGTTTGCCAGAAGAATATCATTATAAATATACTGAAAAATTTAATAAAATAACTAGATTATAACTTATACTATCTTACATAAAATCTAAAAAAATATGTATTTGTAAATATGAATTCCACTAACCGTTGCAAACTTATCAGTTATTACTGGCCAAAGTTTATTAAATAAAGAAATAGGGAGATTTCTGTTTAATGTATTCAAACTTTCTGTAAATGTTTCATACATTAACCAACCACTGTCTGTAATAATGTATCTATTTGTGTCTGTTAACTCACTCATTATGTGCCAACTAAAAATGAAATTTTAATTTTATTAGTAAAAATATTTATATGACAAAACAAAAATTAGTTTAGTTTTTAATCTATAATTGTATTGAAACTATTAGACACTAAGGTGATAAATAAAGAGACAACTTTTTGTATCCTAAATATATAAAATTCAATATTATACTAACTTATCCTTTTTGTACTGTTTTCCGTGTCTTTTTATTTTATTCATAATATCATCACACAAATAATTCAATAAAATATTTATTTCTAAGTCGTATGATTTAATAGTATCATCAAATACTGTTTCTGTTGTTTCTAATAATTCTGTTGGACTCTTATATTCATTTTGTAATTCACATTTATAATTTAACAAAGATAAAAAATGCTGAAACGAAATTTAACATTGTTTTTAATCACTTTTGTATAAAAACCATGTACATATTGTGGCTTCATTATCAATATAATGATTAGAAAGTAACATTTAAAATACATGCATAAATTGACTCTTTTTTTAAAAAAAAAAAAAAATTAATTATTCAAATTCATAGTTAAATTTAAAATTATTAAATGTTTTTTTTTTTTTATTAAGTAGTTCTGACTAAGTAGATAGTTAAGTAGGTAAGTAGTTTGATAATTAATTTAAATTAATTAATGTTGTTATCAAAGTCTTAAACTTGTATGTGATAATTAATTTGTTTTAATATTAGTTTGTCAACAATTTCACAAACAATTGTTTTTAAATAATTATTAAAAAAAAAAAATAAGTACTAATAAGTTAGATACCATGAAGGTAGAAGACTACAAAGTACCACCTCAAGTAGTGAGAGGAAGAAGTTATTCTTATTATTATTATAATAATATATGTACCATATTGGTTCCCCAATTCAAAAGAGTGTATCTCACATAATGCATTGTACATAACATTTCTTGTAAATATTCACTTGATTCTTTATTCTCAGTAAATAATTGGACAATTTTTTGTTTGAATTCTTCTAAAAGATCAATTTGCAATTTTAAAAACTGTAATCTTCAAACACAATAAAAATAATCATTAATACATCAAAAATAAATTTTGTTTTTTTGCAAAGGTTAAAGATTTGAAAAATATTAAAAATATATAATTTATTTAACAAAGAAATTTGTTAATACTAAAAAGAAATATCTATATTCTTACTTGTGTCTAGGTTGGCGTAATAAATTATAACGATCAGACATTGTGTTTAATAATGTTAAAAAACTATCAGCTCCTAATGTTACAATATACTGATGATCTTTTACTAAAATATCCCATTGGTTTTCTTCATTGCTTAAAATTGCATTTAGTTTGTTAATAGCATCTTAAATTAAATTAAAATATTAAAATATATTTAATGCAAATAATTATTATTATTTATTACATTTTCGTTCCATGTTAATCCACTTAAAAAATATTGGTGCCTGAGTTAAAACTTCTGTTACACTAGGATAATCACTTGGATAGCCATACACTTTATGTAATTCTTGTTCAAATGCTAATGTTTCATCAATAATATGAGAAAATATTGAATCTTCCAGTTGAAAAAATGATAAATCAGATTCGAGTTTTACTACAACTGATTGCATTAAGCCAATAATAAATTCATGCTGTAAAAACAAAGAATAGTAAAAATTAAATTTAAAAACAAATATATGATTAAAATGCATGAAAATACTTGTGAATCAATTGGCCTTAGGTTATTTTCTTTGTAAACTGGACCCATCCAGTCAACCACAAAATTTCTGTATTCTTTAATCCAATTCAATACTCTAGATAAAAACCATTCTGGTTTATCCAGCTTATTGGTCTGTTTTTTGCCAGTAAAGTGGTAAAAAAATCGTTTTCGGAAAGGTACTATTAACATAGCAATTGGTAAACTAATATGTGAAAAATGATCCATTAATTCAGATGTTGATGATTTATTCAAATCAAAACAATCATTTTCACTAATAGTTCCTATGAGTTAAGGACATTTTAAATTTATTTATTTAGATCAATTATCACCTAATGGCAATTACAACTGGTATATGAAGATCATTAACAACATAAATTTAAAAATATATAAAAGAATAATTCACCAAAAAACCTAACATATTAAAAAAGAAAAGTTCAATATTTAATAAATGAAAGGAAGAAAAGAGACTATCAAGAATAAAATATCAAGAAACCAAAGCATTTAATGTAAAGACTTATGCATAAGGCCCAGATTTAAATAAAAAAAATGCATTTTTTTTTTTTTGATGGTGATTTAAGATAATGATTTTTTTTTTATTGCATTTATCATTTTTAGCATTTTACAGTAATTTTGTTAGTTTTAAGAGCAATTTTAATTTATATATTATACCAAATAATAGTTTAAATTTTGGTTCCTCAAAATATCAACCCGAGAAATTTTGTTATCATGAAATTTGTTTTAATAGATTTTAGTTAGTTTTCAATACAGTATTATTACAATACTATTATACAAACAATTTTGTCACTCATTATATTTATAATTTCAATAAGTATTTGTTAAGGCTGTAGTTCATCGACTTACTCAAACAAATAACTAAAGACAATTTTTATTTTTCATTTTTGGAACAGTTTTTTAAAAATTTTGAATTAGTTTTTAGCCTATTTAAATCCAGGCTCTACTGATGACTTTAGAATAAACAGCAAGTAAAAAAAAACAACATTCTAGAGAAATATGATGGCAAATTATCAGCTAAAAATATTCCAATCCAATTTTAAATAAATTTAAAAGTGGTTCCTTCTTTTATCAAAAGAATGCATTGTTATAATAATATAAACAGAAATTTTCACAAAAAATCCATTATACGGCTGAATTCCTTTTTAACATCTAGTTTTGAGAAAAAACAAAATGATAAATTATATTTACTAGACATACAGTAAAAATTAGTTTTAATGGATCTCAAACCAAACATAACCAACCATTATTATACCTAAACCTAGTAACATTACATAATACAATAAAAAACTTAAAAAAAATTATTTGGATATTTTACTAATATCAATAGTTACTAGGTTTTCCATAAATGATATCTATTTTATTATAATAAATTTATTTCTTATAAAAGGATACGGTAGTTGGACCTGTATTAACATTGAAGCTAAATGTTGAAAATTCTGTTTATAATCATCTAGTTTTACTTTAGAAGAATTGGACACCATAAATGGCCAGTTAATTTGATTCAAAATAATTTCAAAGTCTCTATAAAACAAAAACATTAAATATCTTATTATGATAAAAGTTTAATGATACTTACTCTAAATAATATCGTTCAAGAACACAATGCCAAAAGTAAACTACTCTTTTTATGTAGGAAACCAAATGTTTACATGGAGATGCATTCATCACAAAACTGAGTTTGCACAATACCTTATAAGATGTAACTGCTTCATTTTCATGCCGATTTTTTAAATTTATTTTTAATTCATTACTAAAAATTATTAAATTAAATCAAATTAATAATCATTCTACATTATATAACTATTAAAATAATAATACCTCTTGGATATAACACTTTGAAGACATGCCAAATAAACCAATTTAGTACATTTGAAATTTAAATCTACTATTAAACTTTTAAATATACTCCTAAAACTTTCAATTTCCAGTTTAAATTTGGAATGCTTTAGCTTAATCTCATCAACTTCTTTTCTCAGTGAAGTAATTTCCAGTCGCTCAGCACGTACTTTACTTAAAATATTATACATACCATCGGAGTTTTCCTGATTTAATTTTGATTTAATCTAAGAAACAATTTTAAGTAGTAACTAATCAATTATCCTTCAAATTCATAACTTAAAATCAATCAAATAAAATGAATTCAGTATAAATACCTTTTCTGTAATATCATGCTTTCTTTTCAGCAGAGTTCCTCTGTATGCTTGACATCTCTCAATTAAATTATCAAAATTGTCACCCAATTCTTCATTAATAGAAATCAATGTCGATATATTATTATTGTTAGACATGTTTAACATTTTAGCGATATAAATAATCAAATATGAATAAAAATATATAATTGATTTTTTTATGTCAATAATAAATATTTTCAATATTTTATTATCATCATTATTATTCTTTATTATTATCCTCCCAATTATTATCCTATGAAATTATTTTCTTAAAAACATAAAAAAATCTCTAAAAATTACTAAAAATATGGAATAATTCCTACAATCACCGAGATAAATAAACAATAGATAATGTTTATCTATCTTGATACGTACAACTTATTTTGAACATAAAATCATTGTAATATTGATTAATTGATAACATTATCTGTATCACGATTCCCAGTGTTGTACTTTTAGATCACATAGGTACTAGTATATGATCTAAGGTTGTACTCAAGGTAGCTGATGACCTGACGGTAACATGACAAATAGATCCGCGTTATATTTGAGATCCCAGTAAATATTCTTATAAGAATTTATACCAGGACATTAAGATCTCGAGACAATATGGTCTCGAGTCATTTAGATCCACGACATTTTTAGATTTATGAATCAATTTATTATTGGTGGCATTTTCAAAATTTCGTAGGTATTCATTCATATTACTTATATTTTATATTATAGGTAGGTATAATTAATTAAAAATTACTAATCTACCTACCTAATTATTATGTTGAACATTATCATTAAGGTATCTCATTTTGTGGTTTATAAATAAAAATTTGATTAGTTCCCTACTTTTTCATACAAAATCGAAAAGAGAATTTTTGTCTAAAAATGTTGGATGTGCATAAATTAATATCCAATTTACCATTTACGAGATATAATAACTATAAGTCTATACCAGTTTATAACAGTTAAACCAGTGGAGTAGGGAAAGGTAATAAACTTCATATCGATTTTTAGATGTTAAATTGATAACTATACATTACTCTCAAATACTATTTATACTATTTATACTATTTATTTATCTATACTATACTCTGTGTTTAAAATATGGGGGATTGCTGCTTAAAAATATGAAGTATATACTAATGTGAAAATAAAGCTTAAATGATTTCATAACGATTGAAAATATATTAAATATCTCAGCCGAATGAAATTAAGTCAAATACAGTTTGCTGTGATTGTACTAGGGGGTGCTGAAGTACACATTTTGCGTTAAATTAAAATGTTTTACCCTTTCGGTGTATGCATGCTCAATTTGTATAAATTAATTGGTACTTTTTATGTTTAGCAACACATATTTTCGTCACTTGATTCAAATAGTCCCATTTTTTTCAATGCAATTTTATTCAATACCTACAGTTTTATTTTTCCTCAAAAATAAATGAGATAATCATTTAAAGATGATAAAAATATTATTTTTTTGAAATATTAAAAATGTTTGTATAATTTCAGATTCTGAATGTGGCGAAGAATGGTATTGATTTTACTTGGATGTTTTTTTTTTTTTTTTTCCTATATACACAAATTTCTACCAGAAATCTTGTTCAGACATATACACGCGGTACCATTTCTGAAAGGAAATGTTGTCCAGATAGTACTTTTGGGAAGATATTTTTTTGATCTTCCAAGCGGTTTTCATAATATCTAACAAAAACCAGGATAAAACGTAAGAAAAACAGGAAATTCGCGAAAATAATAAAATTATTTTATTATTTATCAATATAGTTAATTTGTTTTAATTCAGTTGAAAATATTCGTATTTATAAACATTTTAATTCTGCGAGTTTTATACGTAATTTTTCATCAGTAAGTACTGTATGGTAAAATTGTTAGATTTAACCGAAATTCGTAAAAATTTAACAATAAGTGCATTAAAAGTCTTACTTTGTGGTAAAAAAAAGAAATTGAATTTAATGTAGTATTTTTTTTATAAACAAATTTTAATATCAAATTTTGACGAAACTCGTTTGAGTAAAAAATTATGTGGAACAAATCTAATTTTTCAACTTATTGCTTTGAACATATATAACATGTATATTGCCGATTTAAAAACGATGGTGAAATCAGAATTAAACGGATTGACTAAGTTTCGAAATTATAACTTTTTGAAGTTTTGATATTACATGTTATGTTAAATAACTCTATATTTTATTTTTATTATAGAATATTTGTCATGATCTAATACTTATACATGCCTATTTGTTATTATCATCCTAGGGGTCCCGAGTCGAACCCGTGTTTCAAAAAAATTATTTTGCATTTTTGTTTTCCCCTTAACTTGAACAAGGAAAAACTAAATGCATTTTGGGTGTACCTAAACTCTAGAGACCCAAGCCATCGCTCGCTCGGATTATTTAATCGCAAAATACCCCTTTGTTGTGCAAACTTTTCTACCAGAAATTTTGCTCCGATGTATCAAGCGTAGCTTATTTTCTGAAAGTAAATTTTGTTTCTATGGTAATTTAGATCGTTTTTTGATTTATGAATCGGTTCTCATAATATCTGGGAAAAACTGGGATAAAATGTCGGACAAACGGAATATGTACGAAATGTAAATATTTGTAAAAAAATATAGCCTTTTTTTCTGTATACATTTTTTCTACCAGGGATTTCGCTCCGATTTAAAATGATAGCACTTTTTCTGAAAGGAAATCTGACTGGGAAGGTACTTAGGGAGGTCATTTTTCGATTTTCCCAGAAGTTTTCCCAACAAACTTAGAAAATCAGGAAAAACAATGAAGGTACTTATTTTAATGCTTAAAATTTATTGTGTAATTACACAGATTTAGTTTGTTTTATTGTTCGTAGTTGAATTGGTAGAAGTCATATCATAAAAACTGAACTTTCAGGTAATACAAACAATTTATTGTTAAAGGACAATATTAATATTTTAATATTTTTACTTATAAAGATGATTCAAATATTAAGATTGAGATGGTCGAAGCAGATGCTAAACTACTAAATGCCATACAATGGAGAACAGGTATTACTGCGAATAGCTGGTTACTCATATTATGCAGGGCTATAGTTAAAAGTACCTATATGCCATATACCTTCAAGTTAAGGTTGTATAAGGTGTCTTTAGAAGATTATATTAAATTATAGTATAGTTATAAGTATAACTTATACAGTATATTCTCTGTTTCTTTTTACTACAGAACTGCTCATATTTACCTATATTCTATTCCTAATGTAAAAGTTATCATTAATTTAAACTAGGTAATACATAAATGATAAATACCACTTTAACTATAACTTATTTTATACTATAACAGGTGATGAACATGTTCGTTGTTTTGTTTGTTTAGGATATAGAGATGAAGTTGGTGAAGTTATAAATATCCTTCTGCCATATGGACACGGATGGTGTTATAATCATTGCATTGATGAACAATTGACCAACTGTCCCATTTGCATGATTCAATTCTCTAAAACATTTAATATAGATAATGGTATGTGTTTGGTATAATAATGGCATTTAATGGCTTATATTAAAATGTACTTATTTACATTTTGGTTATAGTCTCATGGATGTCCAATATTAACATCCTCATGGACATGCATTAACTGCATTTGTTGCTAGCGGACTTTCAGAGATGCTCTCAATTTCTCAAGGCTTGTTTACCAGTATTGTGGCCAATGATGGAGGTGCATTGATTGTATCATTTATTTTCCAGACATGTGTGAGGTCTGCAGTAATAATGTGGAAGATTTCATACAAATATTTATTAGTTAAATGTATAATAATTACATTTTATAATATATTTTATTATAGATTTTTTTTTTTTTCTAAATAAACAAATAAATATACTATATTTTCTTAGATTAGATTATTCATTTTTATCTACAATTTGTATTATTATTATATTATTTATTTGTATTATCATTATATCTTGAGTATATAGAGCAAATATGAGTATGAATAAAAAAAAATTAAATAGGTAGGTATATATATATATATATATTTAATATTTATATAAGATTAAGTAATATTAAACTATTATAAAATAAAGTTTATAAATAAATATAGCCTAGAATATTACAACTTTAGTTTGTTTTATGACAGTTTTAAATTTAAAAAAAAAAACCTAACCACCAGGTAATCTAATGAAAATTATTTTATTTTTCATTAAATCAATATAGGTAGGTAATTAAAGATAATTTTATGTCTACAGTATAATCATTACGCCTGATTATTTTGATGGTGTTTTACAAAGAATCTGTACTTATTTTATGTTTATAAATGTTGTATGAAAATTAGTCATATGGTTGGAGCCAAAGTTAGTTTGGTAATATTAGGTAATATATAGGTACACTTTATATAGGTGTAATTTATTTTATAAATGCTAGGTATCTATACCAGACACAATTATCTGTTGTTGTCATGATACCCATTTAACAATATTTTAGTCCATTACTAAAAACAAATCTTGACATTATAATTGATCATTTATCATTTAATTTTTTCTAATAAATGCAAATAGGAAAATTTTACTACCTATTATAATGTTATCTACATAAGTTTTCTAAAAAATTTTAATCTCCGTTACCTACATAATTATTTTTCATCTTCACTAATTTATAGATTGTAATTGGTAGATAGTGCTATGTTAAAAATGGGCATAATGATTAATACTTTACCAGTGGTTCATCCCACATACAAATCAGGTAATTTCTTTTCCCAAGATGTGTGATTTTTAATGCTTTATTCATTGGTACAATTAAAATTTACCTATCATACTTTTATAGTTATTGTTCATTAACCTTGAAAATGCATTTTTGGAATTAATCCAAAATTTGGTCAAAAATAGACATTTTTTAAATTTTTTTTATTTATAGCTATTGATATTTTGATAATAAAGTTTTTTTTATTGAAGTCAGAATAAGTCTATCTGGCTTAGATTATAAAGCTGAGTTATAAACGTTCAAAGTTTCGCTGTGCTCACTCAAACAATTTTAATTGAAAATAACCATCCATTTGTTGATAAGAATCACAGGTAAGTATTAAGCCATTAGGGAAAAGTGAAAAAGCATTTTGAGCACAACTTCAATAAAAAAAACTTTATCATAATTATTACAATAATAATAATAATAAAAAAAATGTTTATTTTCAATCACATTTTGGATTAATTCCAAAAACACCATTTTTGAAAAAAAATTTAGGTTGTAAACTAGATTCATACCATAATTTGTTATAAAAAAACATTTTCAAAAAACTCCATAACCATTCTAATACTCTTAAAAATAAGCTCTCCTCTACTACTCTCCCTAACTGCTCCCTTCACTACCTAAAAAGATCATGATGTAGAAACCTTCTTCATTTACAACTATAATTGTTAGTCAACTGGTAGATAATTTTCTAATTTTAAGTTAGTAGGAATGCCTCCAGTGGGTGGCTTCTCATATTATTTAATTTATTGTGCCTTCATTATTAATAAATAAAAACCTATCTCAGTGCTTCATCCTGTAAACAATTTTCTTTTTTTAAGTAACAAAAATAACATTTAATTGTTAATACATCAGACAACTCATAAGCCAGGATGATTGTACCCTCCAGACCATTCCTGTTTCAGATCATCAGTACCTACCTAGGTAATTATTTAATTACAATTTAATTACAGGTTAAATTGGTACAGAGTAGAGTACATTTGGGAATCCATTTAAAATAGTGAATACAAATTATTAAACTTTAATGTATTAGCTTATATAGCTCAAAGAAAAAGTAATTTAGTGTTAATTAGCATATGATGGTTTGATGTGGAAGTAATTAAAAAAATTGTATTGGATAAGGAAAAGTGGAGGAAGAATAATAATAAGAGGTTGAAAACAGTTGTGAAAAGGAAAAAATAATGATTGTTTTTATACATATACTAAATATTTATAAAATGTTAGGCATTAAATAATATTGAATGATTATGAAAATAAAAATTGTTAAAAAAAATAATTTATTGAACACTAAAAAACATACACATGCCAATTTTTATATTTTTATCATCAATTTATCAACAGTACAATACTTTTTAATCAAAGTATTGTTACAATATATTACAACAATATATAACACAAATTTTAACCATAATAGATTATATTTTGTTAACTTAATTTTTTATAGATGAAATAGCCATAGTAGCAGCATCATCTAAATTTGAAGCAAACTGAATACGTAATCCAGATTCTTCTAGCAATTTTTTACCACTAGAAACATTTGTACCTGAAAATGATGACAAAAAGTTATAGTTTTTAATTAAATACATTGTTTGAGCAATTTTAACGCTCAATATATTATAGTATTGAGGACCTGCACATAACCTGAAAGAAAGATAGACTTCTTACAAAATAGATTTGTATTTTGAAAATTATATTTTCAAATGCTATAATTAGAGCTTGTTTATTACTTGATATTTTTTTTTGTTTTTTGTAGTTTTTTATTACATAATCAAAAAATTAAAGCCCAATACCATGTAAAAATTGTTCCTATTTTCAACAGAAAAAGAATGATCTATGTTTCAGTCATTCAAGAGCAGGACCTTTAAAAATACCTTAAAATATATACTAACCCTCTAATCTAACAACTAATGGAATTTGTATATTCAATTTCTTTGAAGCATTTATTAAACCTTTAGCAATTGTAGCACAATTTACAATACCACCAAACACATTTACCAAAATTGCTTTCACAGAGGAATCTGCAAGAATCATTTAAATCAGTATTATTAATTCGAATACAAAAAAAATAATAATTAAATATAATTTAACCTAAAGTCAACAGCTTAAATGCTTCATACACTTGATTTTCATTAACATTACCACCAACATCTAGAAAGTTGGCTGGCACTCCACCGCGTAGTTTTATAATATCCATAGTAGCCATAGCAAGTCCTGCACCATTTACTATAAGAAATTAAAAAGTTAATTATTTTGCATTACAATAAAAAAAAAAATAATAACTTAAATATGATTTACCTAAACAACCAATATTACCATCCATAGCAATATAATTTAAATTGTGCTTGTTTGCCATAATCTCACGAGGATCTGATTCACTTGTATCATCCAAATCAAATACTTTTTGATGTTTAAACTGAGTATTATCATCAAATTGAATTTTAGCATCAACACACACAACTTTGTTATCAGCAGTTTCAACCAATGGATTGATTTCTATTTGAACAGCGTCTACAGACAAGAAGAATTCCCAGAGTTTTTTTATTTCATCTGCAGCCTGTAAATAATGTCAAGTAATTTACTTTAATATAACAGTAGACATTATATTTAACAAATAACATAATATCCATAATATTATGCTCACAACAGATGCCAAAGGTCCTTTAAAATCCAAAAATTTGGCAACATCTAATGCTACGGTATCGGAAATACCTTCAAAAATGTCAATAGGAATTTTTTTAATTAATTCTGGAGAGGAAACAGCAACATCTTCTATATCCATACCTCCAGCTGGAGATGCTACCAGTACAGGACCATTTTCATTTCTGTAAATATAAGATTTGAACTCAATTCAATTTTATTTTTTTATAATAATTTATGTTACTCAAAACACATGTAAAATTAAATAACTACAACTATCATTAATAATACAATTATCTTACCTATCCATTACAATACAAAAATAAGTTTCTCTTTTAATATCCACTGACTCAGCAACCATTACTTTACTAACTAAAATTCCATCTTTAGGTGTTTGTTTAGTGATTAATTTATAACCCAACATGTTTTTAATTAAATCATAAATCTTTGATCTCCTGAAAAAATAAATATGTATATAATATATATCTAAATAGTATAAAACAAAATTTCTGTCTGTTTACTAAGTTCTTTTAAACTACAAAACAGATTTTGATATGGTTTTCACTATTATTTATAAAATTTTTTCCAGAAGGTGTATATACATATTATATTTATAAAAAAAAAAAAAAATAGAAAAAATTTGGTGTTTTGTAATCAAGTAATAAAAACAAATTTAGGGAACTTACATTGCTAACTCTGACTAAATCTTATGGGTACATCAAAATAATGTACTATGGAACTGAAGATTTTAAAAAGACCTACATAAAAATCTACAATGGATGTCTAATCTTCTAAAAATAACCCATCAAATCAGAAATTTTAAAGTTTGTTTGAATGGATATTTATTACTCTTTCACCATAAATCTACTCAATAGATTAGGTTGAAAATGTGTATTCCTCCAAAACGTACAATTTATTATAAGCTCAATTTTTAATCAATTACACATAATTTATCTATACCAGTCAATAATGACATCAATTTATCTTAGTGACATCAAACTAGTTAGCTGGAATGCTAATGGAATTAAATTTAAAAAAATTACACTTATTGAAATCCTATCCCAACACAAGATAGATAGACTATGTCACAGAAACACATCTTCAAAATATTCAACAGGTTTCAACATCTATAGAAATGATAGGGACACCATTCAATCTTCTGGAGGAGTAGCCATTCTAATAAAACAATTTGTCAATCACCAATCTATTATCCCCAAAATAATCAGTATAGAAGCCAACAGATCCCAACAGACAAATATGAAATGAAAATAGTATCAGAGTACAACTACCCAAATAAAATAATTCAAAAAGATAATATATATGGACTTTTCAATAACAAATCTATTCTCCTCCTAAGAGACTTAAACTCCAAAAATAAATTTTGGGGGTGCCTAAAAATGAACCCAAATGGAATTAAATTACTTAAATTTACCTCTGAACTAGGAATTATAATATCTCCTAAACCTACCTTCCAGCGACAAACAACCAAATATACTGGACATTATTCTAATTTCAAATCTCCTGACAGGATCTATCATCAAATTCCAAACCAACTGGACTCAGATCACACCTGTTATCACCTCCTTATGCGAACAGTATAAGATAACTGACCCAACCCCTAAATTAATAAACCGCTTATAAACTGGGACGTTTTTAGAGTCAACCTAGATAAAAATTTAATAAGAAGCCACTTCAAAATACTAACAAATTAGACAGCACCTAACAGAATCAATAATAAATAGAATAAAATCGGCCCTTGCATCCAGAAATCCAACAATAAAAATCCCCAACTGCATTCCTCCATTTCCACAATGTATCCAAAAACTACTTACGGAAAAATACAAGGCATGGAGAATATGACAAAGATCAAGAATGACTGAAGTTAAAAACCATCTAAACCAACTAACTAGAAGAGTCAAATGAGAATTGAACAACTATAGATAAAACTTTTATTAAACATATCTATCAAAATTAAACCTAAATGATGTCAACCTATGAACAGCCAAAAAGAGAATCCTAAAACAACATGACATAATTTCCCCTCTCAAATTGGAGTAGCGAAATATGAAACAAACCTGGAAAAGTGCAGCGTTTTTGTTTAACTCTTTGAAAACTGCTTCACAATAGAAGATGAAAGCACAAATGAATCACAAGAAATATTTCTTACATGTGAAAATCAAAACTACCTAGTAAAAGATCATATCTACCCTTGCAGTCTCAAAAAAATACAACAAATAATACACAGATTTGCAAACAAAAAAAGCCCCCCCCCACCTGAGGAAATGATTTCATAACAAATAAAATTCTCAAAAATCTCACATTAAAATGTCTTTCCTACTTAGCCAGCCTCCTAAACTCAATTTTAAAAATTGAGTAATTTCCAAATATCTGGATACAAGCAATAATCATCCCAATTCATAAACCTAGAAAAAACAAATACTCACCAAGTAGCTACAGACCAATAAGCTTACTCCACATTCTCTCCAAAATACTAGAACGAGTAATGCTTTACAGAATGAAACCATACTTGAACATTATCCAACTCTATTAATTTGGTTTTAAATCTCTGGACTCTAGCTGCCATCAACTTCAAAGAATATCAGAAATTATAGTAAATGGATTTGAGAATAAAAAATACACCAAGATGGCTTTTCTTGATACTGCACAGGCCTTTAATAAGGTATGGCATCAAGGCCTCCTGCACAAACTTATAAAACTAAATCTACCTACCTATCTCTACAATATCATATGATCATTTATAACAAACCGTTCCTTTCAAGTACTAATAGGTACAGAAACATCACAGTTGCACTCTATTAAAGCTGGAATCCCACAAGGATCAGTTCTTGGACCCATACTGTTTAATATTTTTTGACATGATATTCCTAGTTCGCAATTGTGCCAATTGGCAACATACGCAGATAATGCTTTTATAACGCAAGATACAAATCTTGAAAGCTCAATTATAGACCTGCAAAGCTCATTTGACCAAATAGCAAAATGGTTTTCAAAGTGGAAACTTAAATTAAACCTGACTAAAAGTGAAGCTAAGATATTTAACCTTAGAATATATACAAACCCGACTCAAGTAATAATTAATAATCAACCCATTAAATGGAAGTCAATTAAATACTTTGGAGTTTTTCTCAATGAAAAACCAACATCGAAATTTCACATTAATAAAAAATTAAACCAAACTTATACTCAGATGAAAATGTTATATCCATTAATAAACCACAGCTTAACACTACAAATTAAATGTTCACTTCTGATATATACTTCATTAATTAGACCATTGTTAACATAGGCTTGCCCAGTCCGAGTATCCCAAACTAAATTGAAAAAACTACAAACAATACAAAACAAATTTCTCAGATTAGTACTAAAAGCACCTTGTATGTGCAGTTTATGTGTAACAAGCAACTCCACAATGACACCAATATACCATACCATGATATATGGATCAAGGAAAAATTTAAGTTATTTCACTCAACACTTAATTTAACTGAAGGTGCACTCCTTTATAAGACTGAGAAGCAAACAAAAAACTATATTTTAGTCTACAGTTTATAGACTAAAACTACGTCTTCCACAGTATGTACTGTTATCTATGAAGCCATCCGAATACGAATCTCATTCGTTATAACTACCTATTATCCTGTACATTATTTATTTTTACCTCTATTCACCTTTATCTATAAATTAAAAATGTATATTTAAATTATTTTTTTTTTAATTACTGTAATTACCATTATAAAAACATAAATATGTTGAAAATATTAAAAAAAAAAATGTTTGTATAGATGTAGTTCTAGTCCAAGAATAACTTATAGGTTCTCCGAAATTCCTCCTAAAGGTCTCACACAGAGCTATTGGTATTTTTGGTAACTAACAAAAATCAAATTATTTTGTTGATTTATGGGTTGCCTTGTTGATACAAATAATAAAAAAAGTTAAAACAAAAACATAAATAAATGTAAGGAATGTAATAGTACCAAAATATACACAAAACAAACAGTAGTTACTATAAAAAACTGGTTACTTAGTTCAAGGTTGGACTGTACTTTGTTTGGTTAGTATTTGATAACATATACAAAATGTCTAATAAACCAATTAATTTACAAAAATGTTAGATTAAAAATTTTAAAATATTAAAAACATGATAATTGTAATACCTATCAAATTATAAAATATATTTAATATAAAAAAATTAATTATATTGAGAAAATATGCAATTAAATAAAAATAAGTAGGTAGAAAAATAGGTAAGTACCTAGCTCTAAAAAGTTAAGTCAAGTTAATTATCAATTAAAAATAAAAAACTACATTAATTAAAATAAATACTTACTCTTTGGTAACATGGACACCACCCTTAAATCCATTATTGAAATGACCTTTACCCCGACCTCCAGCCAATACTTGTGCTTTTAAAACATATTCTTCTACATCTGTAATTTAATACTTATATAAAAACAAAAATATATAGTATTCATACATAATCAAAGATAACTAGAAATCTATTTACTTATTATTCATATTTAACTTGTAATATATGATCAATAACAAATACATTAAAGGATACATTTACATTTAAGGATATAGACAGAGGAAAAACATAAATATTTAACAGATCATCAAAATGTTCTAAAATTCTAAGGACTAGATTAAGTGACGGGGCAAATTTTAAATTTTTTACATACCAAATGAGTTTAATAAATTATTAGTTTCTTCTGCATTTTCAATAATTTTAAACTTCTGTACCGTAACTCCATGTTGACTCAATAAATCTTTACTATGGCATTCTAATAAGTTTAAATGTCTGGCCTGAATATTCTACAAAAATATTACAATAAAAATATTTTTTATTGTAATCCAATAGTATATTTACCGTTAATTTAGCAAACTGAAGATATGATTTAGAAATTTTGTTTTTAATAACATGTTTCATGAATTGAGACATATTCTTTAAAATCTGCAAATAATAATAACAAAATTACAAATATTGTTAACTCAATTAATATACACAGTCAAATTGACAAAATTGAATGAAATTGATACTTATGTATTCAATTGTTATATTGCTAAAAATAATCATATTAAGGTATTAAAATTAAAATTATTTTATTCAAGCCATGTTTCATGTTTTGGTATAGACCAATTTAATTTATAAAGAACTTCATGTTTTTAATTTTCATGAGTATATTATAAAATATAATTATAGTACTAGGTCAAAACTAAAATGTATAACTGTTTTTGATTTAAAAAGTCCAATTTTAACGGCATTGCTTATTAATATGTTTTACTTTTTCATAGCTTCATACTGAACTCAACCCAACCATTTAAAAGCTGTTTTTTGGTTAGGTTTTGCAGCTTAAATTTATTTTATATTTATGATGTATTATATTCTATTGCAAAATAAAGACATATTATATAATTTTATAAGTTAATAAATCTATGTAAAATTAAATTCAAACATTAAAATATTATAGTGTTTTATAAAAGTATATCATTAAAACAATATACCTACTCAAGAAATCATATTTTACCATTATAAAGGGCATACAATTAATCAAAGCCAATAGTAAAAAAGAAAAAGAAATAATTAAATATAAATTTGTGATACATTTTTAAATAAATGTATTTCATAATTTTAATATTAAAATTTACCTACTGAAAAAAAAGTTCTTAATAAATAAAAATCAACTTAGTATAATATTACTAATATTTCATTTCTTTACAAAAATTGTATATAATTTTTATTTCTTACCTTAGAAAATTAAAGTTTTCAGCTTTTAGAAATATTAGAAATGATAAATACTTATTATTCTGTGTTCATGAATTATGATTACTTAAGTAATTAAGTATATAGGTATTTAGTATTAACACACTTTATAGAATGCGGAAATGAAATGAAACAAATTATTAACCTGAGGTATTAGGTAATAGTATTCTGTTATTTTCACTATCAGCATTGATTAAATATACTAGTATCAGTTATCAATCCAATACAAATATTCATAGAACTGATACCCAGTACCCACTCCATACGTTTCTCTGTAATTTACAGATGCTTACCAAGACGTAGATATCGATTATTTTTGAAGTTTAATTTTTAAATAATACACAGTCAGTAAATAAACTATGTAGGTAGTATTGTAGTAATAAACAGCAATTAACTCATAAATGATAAATAATGTTTTATTTAATATCTACATTAGACTGCATATCAGTTGAATCAACTTGAATCCCGAGTAGGTACCTATCTATTTATTTTTTTAATATTGATGAAATAATATCTGTAATAGTCAGTTGATTCCCGAGTAACTGTTTACTGTATCGATACCGGTGTACTGACTCCGTGCTTACTATAAAAAAAATATACGGATTGATCCGCTATTTGTTGTATATCAGTTATGAAAATGATAGGTGTTTTATCGAATTTCATCGGTAATAAGTAAAAATTGATTTTACATGGCAGTTTTTGAAATCGAACTTAAGCATTCTAGAATATTATGACCTCCAGTACCGTAACAGTCATTATAAGTTCAACATAAGCTCAATAGCATAATTATAGTGCCGTAATTTCTGAATAAATATGGAGATTATAACAGGAAAAAAGTCTATACTGACAGATGTATATGAGTTTTGTGTTACATTATTACGTTCGATAAATACATAATATTAAAATAATTCAAATAATAATCAGAAAAAAAAATATAATTTAAATAATAATACCGAAAAAAATAATTAATGTTTAATATTGAAACTTAGACTACACAAATAATTTAAAAGTTCATTGTTTGAAAAATTAATATTAGAAGTACTACAAATCAATAACAATTTTTTTTCTTTTTCACTTATAGGTTTCATAAAGTTATTTAAAAATAAATTTTCATTAGTTTTAATCAAAGATATCAATTATTTGTATAGATTCAAATACTTGGATGCATCCGGACGATAATATTGTCAACATGTTATGTTGCGATTTATTGTTGAATGATTCCGATATGTTATGTTATCCTATTCAAAAATGTGAAAATAAAATTTCCCCGGGACCAATTGTCCGTGTATAAAATTATGACGGGGGCCAATTGTCAACATACGATGTTTTTTCGTAGTGACCAATTGTCTGGGGACCAATTGACCGTTTCCGGAGTTTTGTTTTCATAAAATGCAATCGAATGATATCCATCACTGGACTTGTGTTAGGAGTAGCTGTATAAGTGTAATTTAAAACTCAATTCTAATAACGAAATTACAGAAAGCAACACAAACCATAACCAAGATAATATTGAGTAAAGTATTATTAAGGGGCAAACGCGGAGCAATTGTTTAAAGAGGAAAGCTGTGAAAGATACTAAGCCTTCAAAATTAATTTGCAAAGAGTTGAAACAAGGAGATATAAACATCGAGCTCATTCTACTGTTCATCTTCCACTGCCAGAAAGCGCCATAAAAGTACACGCCACTTAGGAATCATTGAACTACTAAACTAATGACAATCAACAGTTTATATTTGTTGACTATAGTGCGAGTTCTATTATAGATTTTTCTGCTGGACGGAATTTGAAAGTCTCATGAGGTCACAGATATTTATATGAATGGGACTTGGAATGTCTTTCCTAAATACTTCATTCAACGTCTTACCTTTCATTGTAAATCATTTAATATAATTTATTTATTTTGATTTTAAGATGACATATATATACATAGGTACCTTTATAGGAACCCCTTGTATTTTTGTTTGCTACCCAACAGATAAAAGACATAATTATATATTCATTTTGTCATTGAATATTTTATTATTTAGGTAAAAAATAAAAGAAATATAGGAATAAAAACTATCGTCAAGTATGATATAAAAGTAGGTAAGTGATACCTAGTTACTTAGTATTATTAATATTCTCTTATTCAAAATATATTATTATGTTTTTATAATACCTAACGGCTACCAATCTCCTAAACTTCTAAAATTATTAATACGAATGTTTAAAGTTTAAAAACTGCCTACCTACTGAACAGATTGATTTGAAACTTTTCAAAGGTACCTACCTAGTTCTAGATCAGGTTAAACACAAAGACTATTTTAGAGATTTATTTTATAACAATTTAAGTAACTAGGTATCTTTGTTAATTATGGGACATGGGTTGCCTTGGTGATACAGATGAAACAAAAAAATGTATATAGTTTCTTTTGGAATGGACAACTAGTATGTTAGTTAAAACAGTTAACTGTAGTGTAATTTTTTATGTGCATTATTTATTGAACATACCTACCATTAATATTTCTTACCTGTCCAAAAATATCGATAATTTAATGCACAGCTACTTATAGGTAATAAGACAACTACAGTAGGTAAATTTATATTCATTTTTATGTTGATTTTCTATGATGAATTTAGAATTTAGTATAGTCTTGTACAGCCTCATATATGTGTGCTATAAGTACTTATGTAGGTATTAAGATAACTTATTTATATTTTAAGTATTTATGGTAGGTAATAGTTGATAGTCTTTGGCACTAACCCAATTTTTAACAATTTTGTGTCTTAATTAAAGTACAGTTTATAAATACTCAGGCAATACTGTATTATATTGGTCTTCTTTGAGTGTAATATATTACTTAATTCAGAATACTATTATTTTATAGTTATATTTTCTACAAATACTATTCACACCTATACAGAGTGATTTTTTTTATCATGAACCGGCAATTATCTCAGAGGATTTTAAGTAAATTTGATTTCTATTTTTTCTAATCTATGAGTTATAACAGTTTAAAGTTTAAACTGAAGCAATAGAGAAGGGTCATAGATAGACAATTTAATACCCTTCCCTACTCCTCTGGTCTAAACTTTGCACTGTTATAACTCACAAACGGTAAATCTGGTATTAGTGTTATGCAAACCAAAATTTCTAGAAAATTATTCTCTATTCAAATCTGTATTCTAAAGGAGAGGAGGGATTCCTATTTGAAAATCAAAAGTATGCACTTATTTAAGGTATATGGAGTAGAGGTAAAAAATTAAAAATGGTTTTAAAATAAAGCTTAAACGATTCCACAATTAATAAAAAAAAAACAGAAATCAATTTACTTAAAATCCTCTGAGATAATTGGTGGTATAATTTATATTTCCTACTACTAGCTCTGGCAATCATATTCGATACGAAAAAATTATGTTCATCGAATAATATTTTGTTAGAACCAAGGTGGTAAAACCCTTTCAGACCTGATGACCCGTGAGGACATTCTTTTAGCCCTTATAGAAGTATGGTGGTATAAAAATTATATCACTTTTTCAAAATAAACTCCCTACTCTTGCGTGGTGACATATATTTATTACCTTCTTCATAATCATGTTTAATGTTGTTAAAACTATCCAGCAGCATCTTAAAAGAATTATCTGTTGTCTTAATCAATCAAATTTGTTGATAAACACTCCACGATTAAGATATTAAATATATGATCGTTGCCCAACGGATGTGTCTATATGTACGCAGGACAGTAGAGCAACACGCCTTGTCATATGTCGTATCATAGAATATGTCAAAACCATTTTAAAAATGAAGACATGTTAAACACAAAGGTATCTGGATAATGAATCTGCAAATATACTGTAATTATTTGATTAGTTTATTATTTTGTATTAATCTCAGAAAATTGTATTTTCTTTAATTTTTTAATAATAAAGCTAAATATTTAGAAAAAAAAAAAAAAATTACATTTGTTAAAAGCGTCCGAAGCTTAGCGTAGACGCAATAAAATATAATAATTCAATATACATAGGTGTTTATTGTTTTAATTTTGTAAGTTATGACTGAAGTTTTAGTCATAAATATAATCGTAAATCGTTATCACTAATGATTTAAAATTTCACATTCACAAACATTATCTGTGAAATACAATAACAATAGGTATAATATAATACATAAATATTTTACTACGGTCTATGACCGCTACAGAATTGTTTTATCATCCGAGTAATATTGTAATCACAGTTTTATGGCCCGTTGGGCAACTGACCACTAACCCAAACATCTCTAATCGTGGTTGTGTAGAAGAAATTTTCATACAATTCTGTGCTTCAATAGGTTAAATGTTATTCATCACGATTTAAATTTGTTTGCGTTATTAAAATTTAAAAGTGCATGCCATATTATCTTATGTCTCTCTTAATAACCTTATAAACCTTGAAAATTAACGACATAATTCACGTTTACGTTTTATCATAAAACACTTGAAAAATGTTGATATTTTTTATTATCGCTGACAATAAATTTGTAATTTAGAGTTGAGAATATGGTTTTAAAAATCTGATTTCTTTTTCCTCCGTGATTATGGAGTATTCAATTATTTGCAAAAATGAATACTAATAATAATGTTATTTTGATTCCGTAAACGGCTGATGTCCTCTACTGGAACATACTAATAACTTAGTAAAACAAAAAAAAAAAAATTTTGTCTTATGAAGCAACTCATTATTAAATATTGATAAACGAAAAAAATCTAACAAAAATTAATTCCACATCTGAAAGGGTTAGTAATTATTAATCCAAATTAGTCAGAACCATAATTCGGTAGAAAATACCTATGACACTGTTATCAGGGACACGATTTAAAGTATATGCCGTGATCGTGATCAGTGTCATCTTATAATATTATCTGTTAACCGCCGAACCATAAGTCATAACTAGAGCGCGGATTTGTATGCATTTGCATATTTATTCTGGTTGATCGTATGACATGCCAAGTGATCACAAAATGTGTTTCATGACATAACGATTTAAAAAATTAAACTTTTCTAGGGCATATTTTTGTACATTTCGACATTTACCCATTTTTTTTCTATTTTAAGGACTTGTTTTGCAATTTTAATTGCATATTCCATCTTTTAGAGCATACTTCGATTGTTTTTTTTTTTATTTTTTTTAAACGGTTTTGCCATATATGACCATAGGTCAATAATCGGTGAAATACATATACCAAGATAAGAAAATACCATTACGACCATTGATATTATTTCAATCGCGCACAATACCATACATTTGTATGTGCTTTCTGCTGCAATTCGCGTTTTTATTACATTATTTTTATCAAAATGCCGAAAGATAAAGCGCGTATCCAGGTGTCAGCATTGAATTGAATAAACAGAAAAAAATTTACAATACCATAAACATCCGAACTTATCTCTAGTTGGTGTATTGAGGAGGTCATGTTTTGATTTTCAAAGGGGTTTTTATAATAATTGAGAAAAACTTGAATAAATAGAAAAAACTGGAAAATATGTATAAAACTAACTTCGCCCCGAATCATTTTTTGATAGCAATGGCTTATCAGTGCATACAAATATAAATTATATTCCCCTATATATCTTAACTTCCTAACTTCTTACCTACAACAGTGGCCTACTACTCATTGTGTGAAATATGCCCATCTTTTTTTAATTTTCTGTCCTATTTTATTTTGCATACACATAGGTAAAAGGAAATATATAATGTAAGCTAAATATGGTTTTTACCTATTTTATATTCAACAAATTTTATGCTACAGGCACATTATGACTTTTTTTTTAAAGAAACTACCTACATCACTTCTTGTAACTAACTTTGATGTGTTTAATTTCTCATTTATAGTCATTTCATTGTCATTCCATGAACAAATTTAAATTGGTACCTAAATAGTTCAGTTACTTAGTTGATGTGGTAATAATGTAACTAGTTAAGTTAAAAGTTTAACTTCCAACTTTCTGACTATAAAAAAAATAGTGCATAGCCTTATTAATTATTGTGTACCTATGGGCTATTTAATAACCAAATACCAATAATTTAACAGTTTACTAATAATATGTAGGCATAAAATACCTGTCATAAAATAATACTGAAAATTGTCATTGTGCTTACCAACAAAAATTGATACCTAACAAAATAATCATATACCTATAGGTAAAGTATTTATGTAAGTTTAAATTTTAATGATATAGGTCAGATATAAGTAGTGTTTTTTTTCTATATTTTTTACGATAATAATAGCTTTTAATACACATAGATATAATAAACAAATAAAATAAATTTAATATATAAACAACTGTAATATTTTATAAATTTCCAACGAATCCATCATAGCATAATATCTATGGAAGTAAATAAATATAGATAATAATATTAGCAAAAAAATAATAATGTAATATAATATATAATATAAGAACATAAATTAATAAATTATTCCTACTTTTGATTTTGTATACAATATATTATAATATGTAATATAATAATAATAATAATAAAAATAATATAATGTAGTATATTATTAGCTACAATAGTCAACAAATGTAAACTTTAGTATAGTTTAAAATAATATTAAAATAATTATGTTCCGATAACAATTAGAATAAAATAATCACAGCATTGATTTACTTAAATGTCTAAACTTATGATATATATAGCATAATATTATATAATAACATAGGTATATATTTAGCAAAAAAAAATAAATAATATACTCAGAATCTAAAAAAATAATTTTGTAGCTTGAAGGTACATAGAGAAATTATTTGTTATTATATTGGTTTTTGTTAATTGGTGTCACTTTTTTGTTTCCCTATTCCATAATGATTTTAAAGTAATTAAAATTTAGAGCAAAGCATTTTCTATGTTAATATTATATTTATATAATAGGTATATAAAACAAAAAATTATATCACTTGTCGGTACAGATTATATATAAAATGACTTCTACTTATAAGTAATTGGTATAACATAACCTGCAATACTTTTTTTTAAGTGGTTAATATAAAAACAAATATTATAACGATACTATATTTTATGATTTATAACAATATAATATTATGCATTTTTTTTTTTTTCAAGGCCTAAAATATAATTTTAAATTAATTATTTGTAAATAATGGTATAATTAGTGGTATATTCAATAGACAGGGGCTTTATACCCCCTCCTCATTAGTTGTGTTAAAAACAAAAATAAATAGAAACCATTCAGAATTTAAAATGTATTAATAATAAAATGGGTAATAATCATTTCATTAGAATATATAAACTACTACTACCACTACTAACTACAAACAATTTTACTACACATATATATATTTTGCAAAAAAACATCAATAAAAAGCCTTTATATAATAATTTATATAGAAATATTTTCAATTGCCTTGTTTAGCCCAACTTTCCTATTGACAAATCCTAGGAATATAATCCAGTCCAATCAATAAATAGGTAGAAATTAAGTATTATAATAATAATTAATAATGGAAATCGGGAAGAACGATATCTATGTAGAACACATGAAGTTGTATTAAAATTTTGTAATAATTAAAAATAATATCAAGTGACATTATATTGTCCCTATGTTAGTTTTTTTTTTCAAATGTTATATGTAATAATGTGGTTTAATATTAAAACAATAAAGAATATAATATGAATGATGAATTGTTCAACAAAGTTATAAAATATACATTGAAAAGATATTATATTTAATAATAATTTATAAAATAATTACCTATTCTAAGTAATTTGAAAATATTCAATAGTTATTTGTATATAGTATGACATCAGTAATAATAGTATTACTGAAAGCATGATTTGGAAAATGATATTTGACATGTGCTTTTTTCCTGAATTACAGCCATCAAAATCGCAGGTAAGAATACAACCATTCATAGTGTGATCTTGGTATTTAAATTCTCCACACTGAGAGTCCATCGTTTTCATGGCACATTGCCTTATAACCATTATTTCGAGCGTTTTCACTGCAACAAAAAATTATGAAACATCAGCTATCCAAAAGCAACAGTTCTTATAGATAATGTATAATGTATATATACAAGGAGTCCTAAAAAGGTATACTCATTGCAATATCTCCTGAGATAATAAAGATAATCAATTTTTTTTTTACATATTACTTATAGGAATAAGTAATACAAATATTTATATTTGAATTGCATTTTTATTATTGACAAAAACACTATAAAATAACTTTTTATTCTAATATTTTCTTAAAATTTGAAGATTATCATTTTATAGAGTTTATGCTTCTGAAAATATTGATGTTTCAACTTTTTATTTTCATTAAATTTGTGATTTTTAATAATTGTTTAAAGTTCAGAGAAAAAAGTGTTTAGTTATAATAATAATGATAACAGTAATCAATTAGCGAATGCAATTACAGCCTACTGCATATAGGTAGCTACTTTTCTACAAACTTTAAAAAATTAATAAAAATCACAAATTTAATGAAAATAAAAAGTAGAAACATCAACATTTATAGAAGCATAAACTCTATAAAATGGCTATCTTTTAATTTTTCAAAAATAATAAAATAAAAAGTTGTTTTTACCAAGTAAAAAGTTAAACTTTTTGAAAAACTTTTTAAATTAATTTAAATATAAATATTTGTGGTCCTTATTTCTGTGAGTAACATAAAGATAAAAAAAATATACCACAGTACAAAAAATGACTAATATATTTTACTAAGCAATTTCATTGATACATTATTAAATTATTATTATTCTTATAATTGTTTATACAAATCAAATTTTAATTTATATTTTATGGGTCTAGCTCTAGATCTAGAATGTCTAGACATTGATGTATTTTCCAAAGAGCCACAGATTGCATATTAGGGAGCCACATGCAGGGGGAACCGCAAAGCTCTCTCTCTCTCTATATATATATATTACGGTGAATGCTATAAGATCGGTAATGTCTTTATAATTACACATTTTAACTTATTTTTGTGTTTTTGTTTAAATATTGTAGTGTATTGGCCAATTAACTAACTTAAAGGTAAGCATGTCGTTTTTGTTTGTACATAGGTTTTGTATTGATATTTAAATTTTTAATCCAGATTTTTTTAATCTAAATTTCACATGTTTGTACCTCACTTGAAAATTAAAACATTAATATTCTAGTATTAAAAATAACAGCAAGAAATCGGATTTCATATGCAAAAAGTATAAATATAATGACATTACCAATTTTACAACATGAACTGTAACATATATAAATATATGTATGGTATATATGTATAGGTATAAATATTATACGGGGTGATCAATCTATCATAAGACACTCATTATCTCGGAAAGTATTAACTTTTTTCGACATTTGTTTTAAAGAAAATTTTAGAAACAAGCAGCTCTGCTTTTTTACATTTGTGTCATTTTTTGTCACCCTAATCTATGGGAATGACACGACTACCTACTTTTGATTTTCAAATGACAACCTATTTTATACATTTCAGAGATAGATGAAGTAGTAGTTAAAATAAATGCTGGTGTTTAAATTTTTAATTTCCATCAATCCGTTGACGAGATATTCTACTTTTAATTTTGGGTCGGAGGAGAGTAGTGGTGTATTATTAACACACCACGCCTACACAAATGATACTCCACTACTCTCCTCCAACCAAAACTTAAAAGTGGAATATTCCATCAAAGGATAAATGGAAATCTCAACACTAAAATTTGTTATAACTAATACTCCATATATTTATGGACTTTTTAATATAGGTTTCCATTTAAAAATCAAAAGTAAGTAGTGGTTTTACCCCCAAATATAAGGGCAATAAAAAATAATGTATATGTTAAAGTTTAGAACAGCTTTTTTCTTAAATGTTCTTTAAAACAAATTTCGAAAAAATTTAACACTTTCCGAGATCATTATGATAAGTGAGTGTCTTATCATGAGTGTCTTATGATAAATTGATCACTCCTATATTGTCAATGAATCTTTTTTATACGGTAACTTAGTGACAAAGTGACTAAATGATTTAGATATATTTTTTATTTTATTCAATTTTGAATCGAGAATTACATGTTAAGTGGTTCATAAACTATTTATGATATAATTTACATTATATATTATAATGGTACATAAAATAATTTAATTTATATCTGTAAGCAACAATAAATCATAACTTGAGAATAAACGATTCTGGACGGAGTTCAGTTGATAGTGATGCTTTGCAAATTGTATACATGCCAAATTATAGTAAAATAATTAATTAGGAATTATCTTTTCGTTTTTAAATATTTATTTAATATTGTACCAGTTTTCCCGGTTTTTCTAAGTTTTTCTGTTTTTTTCCGATTGTTCACATTTGCTGGGAAAACTCTTGAAATAATTAAAAAATGACCTCTCTAAAGTACCTCCTTAGTCACATTTCTTTTAAGAAATATTGCTATCATTATAAATTGGAGCAAAATTGGTGGTAGAAAAGTTGTGCACAGGAAAATATAATTGTAATATTTTAGTAATATATTTCCTACATTATCCATTTTTTCAAACTTGATAAGAAAACTCTTGAGAAAATCGAAAAATGACTTCCTTAAAGTACTTCCCCACACCGATTTCCTTTCAAAAAAGGTGCTACATTTAAAAATCTGAACAATTCTTCTGGTGGAAAAGTTGTTCACAGATTAAGAAAAATAATAATAATAAACATCTTAATAAAACCATAAGCTTCCTCACTCCACTCAGAATCTAAAATAATTTCTGTACCATACCTATTACAGGATTAATATGCAAAGACCACCTCAAATTTTTAAAAAATGACCAAAAATCACTCCCAGATATTTAATAGATTAAACATATTCAAGGTTATCACATGAACTAAAGACCTATTACAATATAAGTAGTAAACTTTTAAAGGATTATAAGTTAAATTGTTATTATTGTTGATATCAAAATACATGTATTTAGATTTACAAATATTTAGTTCTAATAAATTATTTTCAAACCAGTTAACTATTTTTTCTAAGGTAATCACAATTTAATTAATTAATTCATTACTTGAGCTACCACTAACTAAAATTAAAGTATCATCAGCAAATCTGATAATTTCAGCATTCAAGTTTAAACCAAAAAGACCATTAGTGTACATAATAAAAAAAGTGGACTTAAAACTATTCCTTGTGGTACACAATATTTAATTTACTTAATTTAATTAAAATTTACTCAAATAATTATTAATCCTAACAGCTTGATATCTACCAGATAAAAAAAATGTAAATAGACTTAATGCTTTTCCTTGGACATCAGCATACTCAAGTTAATTAATTAAGATATTATGGTTTACCGAATACAAAGCTTTCTTAAAATCAATAAATATGTCTATTATTTTTCTGCTACCATCTAGATTATTCTTTAAAAATGTATCCACCTGAACTAAAGCATCAAATGTTGATTTATCTAACTAAAAACCAAATTGATCATTAAAAAATAAATTGTTCTTTATAAAAAAAAATCATTCAAACCATTTTTTAGGCATTTCTCAAAAATGTTGATTAGACAGTGATAGTGAAATAGGCCTGTAATTCCCACAATCTTTTTTATCACCTAATTTAAACAAAGAAATAATAGTACAATTTTTAAAACCATCAGGAAAAACTCTACTTTCAACAGCTTTATTGAAAATTAATGAGAGTGGTATAGTTATATGTTTGGAAATTTGTTTTAGAAAGAGATTTGTAGTACCAAATTCATAATAAGAACACTCATCTTTTAAAAGATTTATTTAAATCTTAACTTTGTCAATAGAAACAGAGGTTAAAAATACAAAATCATTAATATGACATTTATTGTTCAAATAGTGTCAATCTAATTTTTGAAAAGTATTTTTATTAATATTATTAGTTATAATTTTACCGACATTTGCGAATTATCATTTAGGATATTAAAAATTTCAAATTTGTCATCTATTAAATTATTTTTATTATTACAATTATACAGTGAAGTAATTAGTTGAGTAGGTTTACTTTTATTTTCTATAATTTCATTTAAGAGCCAAGAAGATTTAATATTAGACTTTGTTTTTAAAATTTCATCTTGAAAAAATAATATTCGTGATTTCTTGATAACCATTTGTAGTAGGTTTTCATGTTTAGAAAATTTAGCAGAAAAAGGTAAATATTAAAAGGTCGTTTGCGTTTTTTGGTGTACATTTTTTCTTTGATATTTATAGACACCAAAATACCCTGAGTTATCAATTTTTTTTTAATCAAACAATTAAACTTACAATATTTTTTTATTTTATACTATTAGTACTATTAATAATACAATTATTTATTTTATCATTGAACAGCTTCATTAGTAGATAGATTTTTAACCAATCACCCATATTTTCTTTATATAATAGAAAATTGTATTTGTTATAGTTGATATTTCTTATTGTATTAGTATCTAATGTGAAATTTCTAATAAACTTATTATTCTAAGAACCAATATGTATAATAATTGAAGTACCAAAATGATCAGTAATGCTAATATGTATAATGTAACTAAAAATTAAATTTATATCTATATTTTTTAAAAACATATGATCAATGTTACTATAAGAGCCATTTTGGCTTGTAATACCATTAGTACCAGAGAAAAATAAGTGTTTACTCATTAAGTTTAGATAGTTCATTACAGCCCCCACATATAAAATTAAATTTATCAAAATTATTAATAATTAAAGGAATCTAAAAACAATTGAACATTATAATTTGGCGATCTGTAGATGCCAGTAACCTGATATTTAATGCTCCTATTATAAATTACAAGTAATCACCATATAAATAGGTATGTAGATAGGTACCTAATCCAAAGTGTATATGTTCAAAACTTAAAAAAAGATATATTATAATGTTTTACTTGCCATTTTTTCCAATTATTTTAGTACAAAAGTTTGCAGGAAACATCCCAACATGTCCTTTTTTTGGAACCATACATTTTTCAATATATGTTGACATTGCTGGATTAAATGGATCTTCACAATCTGCATTACTGCCATTCAAGGACGAACATTTATAGCAATTTATACACAATGAGCCTACAATTGTATACATAATAATGATATTTTAAATAAATAATAACAAGACAGTTGATTAAGCAGATGGTATATTAGAAATAAGTGTTCATATTTACCTTGTAAAATACTCATTAAAACTATTGTAATATCAAACAAATATATGATCATTCCTTTTAGAATACACCTCTATAGGGAAAATTATAGAAGCTGCAAAAATAATAAATTTTCAGTACACACACAATTTTTTTTTTTAATTAGTAATTGCCTACAAAATGTTTAATTATGTAATATCTATGTTCATTTAATTGAAAAAGTATACACTTTTCATACCAAATCTACGCTTAAGTGTATAATCTATGTTCATAATGAACATAACCGATATATATATTTGTCTTATATATATATATATATATAGGTACTTACATTTATAAATTATAATTTATTTATGTGAATAAGTTTGTAAGTAATATTGATATTAATACTACTATTAATACTTCAATTCGTATCACCTACAATATTATTTGTGCACATTATATATTTTAGTTTTTATAAGACATTTGTAATTTTTTTTTTTTGGGGGGGGGAGGGGATAGGAGTAAAGTAGCCTATTAATTAATATAGCCTTAGAGCCCTAAAATATAACTAGATAGGCAATTTAGTTGACACATTTAAAAAAAAAAATAATTTATAGTAGGTATCTATAAAGTTAATAAATTTTTGGTCCAGAAAAGAAGAGTAAGAAGTCAATTTTATAGTTTTCAACCAAATACAAGCAAATTAAATTTTGAAAATTGTTAAATGGCATATAGCATATCTACTGAATAACTAAATTATTCAATTCCTAAATGATTTAAGTCATATAGGTAATATATATGATATATTTTTGCCAAAAAAAAAGTAGTGATATAAGATTTTTTAAATTTTCAGTTTAACATGAGTTAGTATAAAGATAATATAAGCAATTTAAAATAAAAATAAAGAGAAATAAATTGTGTAAGACAAAATTATAAAAACTTAAGCACTTCTTCCCCTCAAACAAAGATGGGTAGGCATGTAATTTTGATTGTATTTTAAAATAAAAATATGTAATTCTAAACATTTTTGTATTGCAGCCAATACATAGATATAGATATAGATAGATATCTATACAGGTAGGTATATATTTTAAATAAATAAGTAGGTATCTTATAATATCATCATGAAATTGTTTCTGTAGTATTTAAAATTGATTAGATTTTCAGATTCAAGTATGTATAAATGAACGCTCTAGAGTAGCTGATGCGTGTTATAAATCTAAAAATAGTAAAAATCACGCAAAACATATGTAGTAGATAATATGTGGCTATGTAGGTATAGATGCCTACCTAGTACGCATCTAAATGTTTCATGTATACAATAAATAAATATTAAATAGAAAATTTAATCCCAATATTTGTGTTAATATGTTTTATTTCATAGTTTAAATCGTTATCATAAAATAATATTTTATATATTATTATTTATTACAAACCCAATATGTAGGTACCTATAATAAAAAAAAAAAACGTTAACGGGAAATAGATGGGCATTGGGTAATTACCTATTAAATTTAAAAACACTAGTACTCACAAGTCGTTTATCTAATCACATAGATAAAATGTCTACACAGTTGATGATTTTTCTTATAAAAAAAAAAAACAAAACTTTGCTAATACTCAACGGACTGCAGTGTAAGGTCGTTCATTTATAAGATCAAATACAATATTGTATCATTAATGGTAGTAATATTATGGCTGTGGAACGTTGCAGTACGATGTAGAACGTAGTTAATTTTAGTATGCATTCTTTGAACGAAAAAAAAAAAAAAAAAAACCCTTCGTTAAAATAATATCTACACACACCCAAAAGGGCATTCAGTCTCAAACATATAATAATCGAAGGGATGATGGAACTGATGGAAGGTGACGCCCCCCCCTAGCAACGGTTGCCAGGGCAGAGACCGTGGGATCATGTCGTCTCCTACTTACAGTAAAAATGAAGAACAAAATATTCCACTAGACTGCGTTGACATAATAATAATATATTATGTCGGATTTCGTTATGTTTAATTAAATTGAATGTATTATAATGTACGTTATTAATATTATTCAATTAATATTCGAAAAGGACGAAGGTTTTTGGCTTCTAGAAATCGTAATATACCAACATATATATATATATATAAATATATACTTCCATAAAGTTGGTATATACATTTCCATTGTTATGCTGACCTATATATTTTCAGCGCGGTAACAAACTGCGTAAGCGCCATAGTGCCATACCTACCTATATATATATATATGTATGTATATACGAAATCCATGTATTTAGGAGGGGCTAGTGGGTTATTGTTCGATTGAACAGCTGCTGGTTACCTAACCTATATTTTGTGGTTGAAAAGTTCAATGATAATAAAATCTGATAAGAGGTACATAATAATTTTGATAGATAAATCAAATTATTTAGTTAAATTATTAATTAACAATTATTTCTCCTTTCGTACGTACTAAATTTTTAATGTAAAATGATTTTAAATACAATTCAATATTCATTCCTCGTTTTATTATTATAGTTTATGATTAATTCTTATACAGAATTGTTGTTCATAGAAAACATCAACCATTAATGATGGATATTTTATTTTACTTCTAGTGGTAATACTTAATTATTTTGATACTTATAACATTCATTGTGTAATTGTTTTAACAAAAAAGAATAATATCATCTTCAATGTGTACATAATGACATTAAAACTATCATAGATCATCATAATTTTCTTGATTTTTTTCTATTTATATTTGTCAACATCATGATGTATTTTATATCGTAAACTGTTAACGTGGTGTAAAAATACATACTTGGTACCTAAAAAGCATGAACAATACTACTCATATCTATACTTGGTTCTCATTTATGTTTGTATATGTATTCTAGTTCATAAGAACACTGTTCAATTTATCAAAATAATTTAATACAACCATGGAATTTCAAAATACAACAATAGTGAATACAGATCTTTGCAGTGTTCTATTAAATTGGGTTAGTATTGTTTTAGTTAAAATTTTAATTTAAACAATTTAATACATTTTGTAATCATATTCAAACAAATATGAATAGCTAAAATGATTAACAAAACATTTATTAAAATTAAATTGCTTGTAAATAACAATGATATATTAATAATTGAAATTAAAAACCATTATATATTTACAAAAATATTATATATTATTTATTTCATTAGCTAAATAATTATAATGTAAATCAATGACTTGAATAAGATAAAAAATGTCCTTATAAAATGTACATGAACTTATATTTTTTTCAGTTGCAAACATTAAACCTAAAAAATCCTCATAAAACATTATATGATATAGCTGATGGTGTTGCTTTAGCAGAAGCGTTGAATCAGATGTGAGTATATAACTTTACGTATATGATAAAGTCTCAGGCATAAGGTATAACATTTGTACCCTCCACATATTATACCATGTGATTTTGTGTATGTTACAACCCTTTTATCATATCATTATACAAAATAGAGACAAATCTATTCTAAGAAAGTTTTTAAATTTATAAACATTTCAAATGATTTGTACATTTATTTACAGTTTTTAAAGGAGTTTTGGTGGTCAATTTATGAAAATAAAATGGGAAACTATTTGTTTTTGCAAACAATGTGAACATATTTATTTAAAAAAATTTAGTGATTGAATAACATCAATATATTCAAAATTCTATGCTAAAGAGCAATTTTAAGTTTTTAGGAGACAAATAGCTAATAACATTCATCACACAATGCACCGCGCAGCTCCAGTTACTTTAAAGCACTCTCAATCATTAATTTTTAAATAAATTAATGTTATTCCAATTGCTATAATGTATGAAAAAATATCATCCCATTATGTTTGCAAAATAATGTAGGTGTTTCCATTTGAATTAGAAAAGTTGACCCCAAACTCCCCTCCCTATCCTCAAATGACTATAAAAAAAAATATGTTTAAACCATTTTAGATGTTCATAAATCAAATAATTGCCGTATTATACATTTATCTCTATTTTGAATATTTGTGTGATAAAATGGCTGTAACATAACTTGTATATCATTCTCTATACATGCATTCTAATAGTCATTCAGATTTGATACATATACTGTACGGAACATTTTTACTTAAACTAACCAAATTTTTACTTTTATAATGAAACTAATAAATAAAGCAAAAAAATGCAGACAAAATAACTAACAATGATATTTTAGTTGACATAGTTAATTAAATGAGAGTTAAATAATTTAAAAATTGTATAGTTTTACTTGAGTAACTTAATGTAATAAATTATAATTTAAAAAATAATTTTTTTAGTACAGGTTCAAATTTTATAAATATTGTGAAAATTGTTTTATTTTCAGTGCTCCTGAATATTTTGATAATACTTGGTTTTCTAAAATAAAAGTTGAAGTTGGAGAAAACTGGAGATTAAAAGTAATTTATGATAACATCTATTAATTTTAATAGATATAAATACTCCTTACTATTCAATAAATTCTTACATAATTCTAGGTCAGTAATCTAAAAAAAATTGTAGAAAAAATCCATGATTTTTATCAAGACTCTGATACTCAACACATTGGAAATTTTGTTAAACCTGATGTAATTAAAATAGGTAATAATATTTATTTTTATGGGAAATATCTAAACATTTTTGGTTAATAAAGGCTACAATAATGTAGATATATTAATAAAAAAATAATTTTAAATAATTCTTTTTTTATTTGCTTATAATTTCAAAATCATTTTTATTCAGGTGACCAATATAATACTGTTGAAATCGCTCGTTTATTGCAACTTATTTTAGGGTGTGCTGTAAATTGTCGAAATGCACAAAGTGAGTAAATTAATTTTTTTTTTTAGAATAATTTATTTATATTTTTTTCACTTTAGATTATATCACAAACATAAGATCAATGGATGAGAATTCTCAGACTGTAATAATGCAGTGTATTCAAGACTTAGAACGAATACAAGGACATTCTCAAAGCATTATTAATACAAATTTTGGAATTGATTTTGATGGTCAAGATCAAATTCGACAACTTCTCACAGAACTTGAGTCAGTAACTCTTGCTAGAGATCAAATGACTCAACGTTGTCTTGAACTTGATTCTCAGGTAATTGTATTTCATTAGATAATAAAATAAATACATTTTTTTTAAATGTTGATATGAGAGAAATTTGGTTTTTTTTAAATTGATAAAGAAAATTTAGTTTATTAATATTTTTGATAAAATAAAACAGTGGAATTTGAATTATATGAGTTATATGAGTTATATTTTTGTGAAAAAGTGTAGTTTAGTTTCTAAGCTAGTTTTTAATTTGTTTTTTTTTTTCAAAGAGTGTTCTTGTTCTGAATTTGTTGGTATCTACTTAAAATCTGTTAGATTTCGTTCTTAAGTTATTGAAAAACCTTATTTACCTTACACTGCTTACAGACACTTCCATACTTTGAACTTATCTAGTATAGCTATCAGCTTGTTTGTTTTTAGATACCTCTAAAATGTTATATTATAGTTATTTTTCCATTAATTTTTTGGGGTGAAATCACTGTCCCACTTGACTTTCAAATAGTAACTTATATTCAAAATTATATTAATAAATTATATTTTAGTGTAACATTTTGGTGTTAAAATATTTAATTTTCACCAACCTGTTGACAAGGCTTTCCACTTTTTAATTTGAATAGGGAAGAGTAGTATTATTTGTGTGACAGCTTCATAGAATGTGGTGTTAGAATATTGTTCTACTACTACTCTTTTACCAAAACTTAAAAATGTAATATTTTTTCAATGGGTTACTGAAAATTGAAAATCTCAGCCCAAAAAGAAAGTATTTAAACTAGAATTTCATCTATGTATGAAATTTTTAATATACATTTTTATTTGAAAATCCAGAAATTACATTCAATCTATTCAATCTTTCCCCGAAAACCAAATAAGAAATCACATTCTAATCAAAGCTGTACTATTAAAAAAGTAATAGATGAAAAAATGAAGTCCACATAAACCTTAGGCTTAACACCTTGTCCATTGAAAATAATCTTTACCAAAACAAAAAAAACAGTTTGAAGAGATCAAACATATAACCATCTAGTTATAAAACTTATTTGGGAAACAATTAAAATTAGTTTTATCAAAATATTATAATTTATAATTATTTATTATAGTTAATAATATTACATTTAAATTAAGTTATAACATGGCATTAATTAAATAATAAATTATTTTTAGAAAATCAAACCAAATATTACTATTCTGTACTCTACAAAATCTATATTACTTTTAATGCTTCAAACTAAATCCATATCATTATATTGTTAAGCTGTAATAATGTATATTATATGTAGATTATTAATTATTCTTAAATGTTTATCTTTTAGATTAGTTTATTACAAGAAGAAAAAAATTACATTTTAGTTGAAAAGAAACTTTTAGAAGATAAAGTACTTGTAGATCCTTTAAAAGATTGTGGTCAGAGGAGACAAATTGATAATCTTAAAGAAGAATTATATAAAGCTGAAACTGGTAAATCGTATATTTGTATTAATTATAATATATCTACTGTATAAATTGCATAAAAACTAATTTAAAATTATAATAAATTAGCATTGTTCAAGTGGTTTATAAAAATGCAATATATATATATATATATATATTTAATTTTTAGCTAGAGATGACTATAGGATAAAATTTGAAAATCAAGAAAGAGAAATGATCCAATTAAAATCCAAGTTTGAACTTTTACAAGAAACTGCTGGAGAAGCAAGACTTCTAAAAGATGAATTAGATATTCTTCGAGACACAGCTGACAGAGTTGAAAAATATGAAACTACTTTACAATCGTATAAAAAGAAACTTGAAGGTTTAGGTGATTTAAAACGACAATTAAAAATATTAGAAACTAAAAATATTGCTTATATTCAACAAAATATGGAATTAGAACAGGTGAAACTATATTATGTTTAGACTATTTACTTATAATGCAAATTCTAAATTTGTATTTATTCAAATTGAATAAACATTATAGGAAATTAAAAAAGCTGCTATTTGTAAATCACAATTAGAAGTGTATAAAAAACAAATTACTGAATTACATCATACATTAAATGAGGAAGCAAATAAAACTGATAAATTAGAATTTGAAAATAAAAAACTAACAGAACATTTCAATACCCTACAAAAAGAAAAAGAAGTAATTACTTTTATAATTTTTTCTAACATACTTAAGTTAATCTTAATATTTTTTTTAGAGATTAGTCATTGAAAGAGATTCATTAAGAGATGCAAATGATGAGTTAAAATGTTTTCAAATTCAAATGAAAAAAGCTAATACTTTAGATCATTCAGATACAAGCACTTCAGATGAATTAGAATCAGCAATGGACCTCAAGTTTGTTTAGTACACTATTTTTCATTTAACTATTATTATTATTGTGAGATTTGATATGTATTTACAGACAAAAATTAGTTAGACTTCAACATGAAAACACAATGTTAAAAATGAATCAGAAAGAACCAGAAGAAGAAAAAATGTCTGTTCTACAAACTCTTTTAGATGAAACAATGCAACAATTCAATGACCTACGGTTGGATAATAGGTACTATGATTTAATATATTTTAATAAAATATAAATAGGAACTAATATCCATAATGGTTCTTTTTTCCATACAATTTTTTCAACTTATACTTAGTGATTTTAGTTTTCTTCTTATTTAATTTTAAATAGTGTGTTATTTAGTATTAATTTACTAAATGACACATTAAATACAAATGGTTATTTTTTTAGTGTCTAAAATTTGTATTTTACAAAAATGTATACTTAAACACTGTTATTTATCATTAATATATTAATATTTAACATCATTAAATCGCAGAAAAGCTAATCAGAAGATACTGGAATTGGAAAGTGAACTTATTCGCCAAAGAGAAGTTAATTCTAATGAATTAAAAATTAAAGTCACTGAATTACAAAACCAGCTTCACTGTGAACAGGTTATTCAATCATTGGATATTGAAGAAAAAAATACAACTATTTCTGATAAAGGTTTTTTTTTTTACAAATTTAAACTTATATTGAAAACATAAATGAAAATATTAAATTGAGAAACTTTAAATTATACAATATGTCAAAACATACCACTAAGATAAATACTTATGAAAATATGATATCAACAATAATGAGAAACAAGCCCAAGTACATGTAACCATGTACAGTATTGTGCATGTGAACAAAATAAAATCAATATTTTTTTTGTGTTTAAGAGTATTAACTTTTTACTAATTGTACTGACTATCTTAATTATCCAATAAAAAAATTCTGAAAACATATTTGGATTCAACATGTAATTTACTTTAAACTGACTTTTCTACTCTTTTAAAAATTTATCTTTTGAAGTTTTAACCCTTGACAATTTGATTAGTAAAGTTTAAAAAAAAATGAAAAAAATTGCTTTCAAATAAACTTATATATTCAAGCATGTTTTAAAAAATGTTATCTGACTAGGATTATGGGTACAAACAGCAAATTATATATTTATTTTGATAAAAAAAACAGCTGGTATCCAATCTATTTAAGAGATTTTCATTATGTATTTCCCTCATCTCCATAAGACAAGTCAAAGTATTTCAAAATGTTTTTAATAATAATAGATCTATCTTATTGTTATATCATAGATTGTATGCCTTCTTTAGTGATTATAGTTATACTATCTCTTATAAGAAACATCAGTCTTTAATAATAAATTCCAATCAGTATCATCATTGACAATAGCATTATTATATAATATAAAATATACACTATACATAATATATTTTTCATTGAATTTATAAATGTTTATATTATTTTCAGATCAGTTAATAAATATACTTCAAGTTTCTTTAAATCAAAAAGATATAGAAATTCAAGAATTGCAGGGCAAACATAAAACTTGTATTGATAAAGCAAAGTCTGTGGTACGATGTTTAGACACTAAAAATATTGTGTTATCTGATGTGGATACAAGATTATTGCAAAATAAATTACTGAAAGCTAATGAAGAAATATGTAATTTAAAAGTAAGTAAACACCTATCTTGCATACCACAAAATAATTAAAATGTATTTTGTATTACCTTAGAGAGAACTAGAAAATTATAAAACATCTCGAGATATGGAAGAAAAATTAATGTCTACTGCTTTTTACAAAATGGTAATTACCATCATAATTGTATATAATAATTATTATTTAATTGCTTAAATTATTCTCAAAAGCAGACTGGTCCTGTGGGATGGTGGGAGCAGTCCTACAAGGACTACTGGTTTTATCGGGCTGGACTTTAGACATTGATTGTCTATTAAATTTATATACATTTAGAGCATAATATTATTAGTTATATTAATATATTATTGTGTGTAAATATTATTGTAACATCAATTTATCATTATTATTATTCTCCTTCACCTTTATCCCAACTATTTGAAGTCAACCATCCTTGTTCTAAACTTCCACTTGACCAGATTTCTCTATCTCCCATATTGTGTACCCAGTTGTCCTCATATCATTCTCATTATGATAATAATATATTATGTATTTTTTTTAACTTTATTATAGGCCCAAACTAAGATGCAAGAATCTGTTGATCAAAGAATCATAAACAAAGGGCTGCTTCATAGTCAAACATTCTTATCAAAACAAAGGCAAAAAACAAATAAAACAGTTGAATTGCCTATTATTTCAAAATAAATTTGTTGTTGTGGAAATCATTTTACCCTAAAATCAAAATAATGGTCCTGTAATAACACAATTCTATAGGATTGGAGAAAATATTTCCATTCATAACAGGTGAAATTCCACTTTAGGAATATTCATATTTTCATTTTATGCAGTTAAATGTCCTTCTGTTCTTTAGATGGGTTGTATTACGAATCTATTTAATGATCTATCTAATAAAAAAATAAAATTAATTATAATTTTTCTCAAAAAGCAATAATATCGAACTTAACTTAGTTAATTGAGTTTAGACATTTTAATGTTAGAAAAATAATTTATTTTTATTTATTTACTAGTTTTTGACAACATAAGGAAATGTGATTTCTTTATTTAGAAATTATTTTAAGATTACCTAGTAAAAATGTTCTAAAAAAATTATATTTTGAAGGAAAAAAAATTTCTTTATTTTGAAAAAGAAGTAATTGATTGAATTATTATTGATATTAGTATTAAGCTTTGTATTCAGTATTGTATTGTTGTATTTTTAAATGATAAATAATAAGCATATCATTAATGTTAAAAAAAAACCAAAGTTGATCTATTAATTTATAAATATAAATATATTTTATTATAGTTATTAATAGTTATTATTTATTATAACTTGATGTAGTGATCAAATATCCAAATAATCAATCTTCCATGTTACTTAAGTATCTACACATATCAGTGCTTGATTTGGGAGTATGCAGGGGGGGAAAGACTGAATACCTCAACTAATTGTTTGGATATTCTAACATACTCCTATTTCTGTTTTAAGAGGGAACTTATGAGATGGGTTGTTATTTAAGCTTAACTATTTTTAGTATAAATCTAGTTTATAACCCTTGTTTTTTAATTATTTTTTTTTCGTAATGTCTTTTCGCCTATACATTAAGCATCTAAAAAAAAATTGGTTGTCTGGAAGTTATGAGAGAAAACTTCATGAAGTTCGAGTTATCCTATCGCGAATTTTTTAGTTAGAATTTAATATTTTCAAAATATGTGATTTTTAATGCTTAATCCATTGGTATAACCAAAAATGACCTATCATACTTATTTTTATAGTTATTGTACATAAACCTCTACTTTACTTTTACCTTGTTACCTACTTAATGTGGTTTTGCTCTACAAATCGAGAGTTATTTATGATTAAAATTGTCCAAGTGAACACAATGAAACACAACACGCAGCAGAGGATATTTTAAGGAATTTTTACTGAATGGCACTTTAGTATAATTTTCTACTGGCAGAGTAACATATAGGGGAAACCAAGTTAAATCACAACAAAACCAACGAAGCTTACTATCAGAAGTTCAATGCACAAATAACTATAGCTAACATAGTCATTTTTTACATATAATAAATCTATTCATATCAAAACAATTCTAGAGTATTATGGCATATGGTCCAGTTATAGTACATTTATTTTTTTTGTTATTGTTATTTACATATGGTCCAATTGTTCTATATACATTTTTCAATAAAATATTATTATTTCTTTAATAACATACAATAAACTGTTCAAAAACTCAAAATATTATCAGCGATAGCATTTGTTGACAACCAATAACACCAAATGGCAACTACACTACTGTGGGGAAAAATTTTCTTTTCATTTCTATATATTTATCTTATATAATCATATTAATTTCATTCAAATTATTTTGGGTCATTGTAAGAATGCTAGTGGCACTAATATTTGGTCAGTGATGGCACAAACACCCATCACTGGGTAGCCTTTTCCCTCAACACTTAAATTAGTAGGCACCTTTTTTAGTCTTCATCTACCATTATTACATTCTAAATTTATGACCCCTCACTATTTCTTTTGCTCAGTTCTCCACAGAATGTACCCACACAATTGCATAAACTACCTCGATCTGTTCTTGCTCATACATTAGCTTCCTCTCATATAGTCTATTAGTCAATAGTTGAACTTAATTTAATTTCACTTTCAGACAAATCTATTTTTAATACTATTTAGTTAATATAATAAAAAATTGAATTATAATAATATCTTTGTTCTAAAAAGTAAAAGTTATATATTTATAAATTCAGGATGATTCAGGAACCCATTTTCTTAGTTAAATTTTGTATATATTCAAATTCTAATTGTTGAAATTTTTTAGTGTAGTTAAAGCCAACATTTTCGAATACTTAGGTTTTTCATAAAAATTTAAGGAATATCATATAGCTATACCAACTTTGGTTTTTCAAATGATAATCTATATTAAAAAAAAAAAAAAAAACATAAATAGAAGGAGTATTAATTTAAATACATTTTGGTGTCAACATTTTTGATTTTGGTCTTCTCGTTAACGAGATATTTCACTTTTAAATTTAGGCAGGGGGAGAGTAGTGTAGTATTATTTGTGTGGTGACTTGGCGCCATTCAAATTCATAGTGTGTACATTTTTATAATTTTTATTACCTCCAGATTCTTCAATTTATTTCGTAAGAATAAACGAAAAAAATAAAAGAAAATTACGAAAACAAAAAAGTGTTTATTTGTGTGTTATTTCTATTTAAAAACATGTATTTCAAAATATCAAAGATACCATTTCGATTTTCGAGTATAAATTGAACATAATTTTGTCAAATTAAGTCAATTACAAATTATTCGTAAATATTAAATTTCAACATACTTTGTCAATTTTTTAATTAGAAAAAATTGTTTGTATACAAATTGTTTTAAGAAAAATACTCCGAATCTATAGAAAAAAATTGATGTTGCCATTTAAAAAAAAGGTAGTTGTTTGTTACGCACATTCGCGTAACAAAAGAATTAAAAATTTGAAATTTGTCTGAAAATGTGTATTTAGGTACTCTCTATCATTCACTAAAAATTCCACTTCAATACTACTCGTAGGTCAACCAACTGAAATATTTAGTGGTACTTCTTATAGCATGAACGCACTGCATATTGTTGACGATGTATCACTATCAACTGAACTCCGCTCAGAATCATTTTTTCGTTAGCAATTGTTTATCGTTGCTCACAGATATATATTAAATTCCCTTCTGTATCTTACCTTCTCAATTTCCCACCTAAAACAGTGTCCCACCCACGTGCGAAGTATGTCTGTCTCTTTTTTTTTTTTAACTAATACCTATATTTTTAAATGTTTTAGATATTATACTGAAAGAAACAAAAATATTTTACCTATCAGTGTTTTCGGCAATTTTAACGTTTTGATGAGAAACTATTGATATGTTCTATAAATATAGATTACAACTAATCAAAAATCTCATCTAATGTTTTTATGACGGTGGCCTTTTTTTTTTTTGTATTATCTCATTTAATTTTACAAATTGTGGAAAGCAAGGGGGGCAAATGCCCTACCTTGTCTCCTCTTCTGAGCGACTTTGCACGCCAGTGCTTAAAAATTTATATTAATGTGAACGTATGTTGAACATTCGTAATAATATTAGAACTTTTAAATAATACCTATATTTTTAGAAGAATAATCGACATTAATGTTATTTATTTCCAAGATACAGAAATTTATGTTCTTAAACTGCATAGTTAATTTACTTGTAAATTATGGTTTAAATCGAACAAACCCATAATACAAAGTACATACATACTATTATTCTATTGTCCTATTTAATCTTTTTAAATTTAATATTCAATGAACTACCTATTAATACAAATTCAAATAGGCATTTATAATCGTACAATGACACAATGTTATCAGTAATACCCACGCGTATTCGTATAATCATGTAAACGGTTGGAAAAAATTACAATTGAATATCTATACGGTTGTAGGTAATTTTCCTGTGCGAAAATGTCGATTGGCATAGTTGGGTATGCGCGGTTTTTTATAAGCTAAGGATTATATCATAATACGTATTCACTATTGCATGCCATTATATTATATTATCTAGGTGCCTGTAATAATATTACGATAAGTTTGAAACATCCGTCATCTACGGGTCAGATTATCGTTTTATTTAAGTAGAACAATAGGTACCTACATAGTTAATTTTCCGTTTGTTAATGCGAGATAATATTAGTCGTACTGCACACCAGGCATAAATTATTTATTTTTACTTTTTTCGTTGATTTTATAAGTTCGACATCCTGTACGCAGCACTGACACTAGACAACATTATTGACGTCCCACCTCCCCGGGAGTACGTACACGAGTAAATAAGCTAATGACCTTTTTTTTTTTTTTTCAGCTTATCAGCGTGATACAACAAGGCATTAAGTTCTTACTAAGATTAAAATGATTTTATTTATTTTCCTGTAAATGTAAAATTTCCGACGACTCGTCGACTACTACTAATTTTTTTTATAACTATCGACTAAAAAGTAATTGTTTTCACTGGGGGAGGGGATTGCACCCCTCCCCCTAGTGTCGGCCCTGCCTGTATGTGGTATGAATCAAATTATGTAATAATTGCTCGTTCCGTCTAATTAAGCTGAAATGTTGCACATGACTACAGTTTTGCAGAAGGCCAGATTCTAAGATTAAACGGAAAGCGTTTTCCGTCATTTTCGATTAAAAACAGACAGCAGTAGCGGTCTGAAGGAGATATATTTGAATCACATGATTCACAAAAAAACGGACGGGTGGGTGCCGCCTGGGCTGTCAGAAATAAAACAAAAATGACTATGTTTCTACAAAACAAGTAATTAAAAATAATTTTGGACTGCGGAAATTTGATAAATTTCATTTGAAGACTTCCAAGGAAACTCGGTTTTTATCCCCCGTGTGGGTGATAAATCAACGATTCAAGACAAAATACTTACGCTCCGTTACTGATGAGCAGTACAAATCAATTTAAAGTTGATACCATGAAGAATAAAGATCTTTATTTTTCACGGTCGATACCTATATTTCAATTGATTTATATTAATTTATAATCAAAAGCCCTTTTCGAATGATTATTTGAGACCAATTATACGCCCCCCCCTCCAGAAGAAAATAATCATACAATAAAGCAAGTATGAAAATAATTAATTTTAATGCTAAAATTGTGAAAACTCAATTTGTTTTTGGATAATCAGTTATCATTAGGCATAGTTCCTATAATACAAAAACCGAATAATATCGCTGTACCTACCTATATAAATGTAATATATTATGTATATGATTAATAATTAACGCTTATGGCGCTGAAAGTAGCATAATATAAAAGCTGTTACTAAAACGTATTTTGTTCTCGGGAAAACATTTTCTAAACTGTTTAGATTTGTTCATATCGTGCCTTGAGAGAACGCCATACCCGCGTGTGCTATCTCAGTCCGGCTACAGGTTAATTGCGGCCCGGTGTATTGTTTTTGATGTCGACACCGGTGAATTCCGGCCCGTTAAACCTTTTGGCTGCCGGTTAAGCGGCCCATACACAATCAACACATGATATTGGCAATAATATTGACAGTGTACGGATCATATTGAAGACGTGTTCAATATATTGAACAAATCAAAATTATTTTGATAATTATTGATAGATTGTTAATATTACCGTGTGGCTGATTTACATTTATTATTTGATTACGGATCAGGTGACTTAATAATGGTATATTGATACGTTGGTGGTCATCGTCAATGTTCGTCAATATTTCGACAATAATATTGGTCAATAAATATTGATCGAGAAACTTTTTAAATTTATGAAAAAGAAGTGTTTATCAGACAACAAGAAATAGGCCAGTTTGATTTCGTCAAATCTTTAAGTTTTTGCCAAACCGATAATTTAAAATGAAACTAAAAATGATGACAAACATGTTCATTGGTTGATAATTTTATAAACTTGAATGAAAAAAAAAATTATTTTAGGACACGACACAACCGACCTCCCTGGGTAACGCTAATAGGCTAATATAAAAAAATAAAAAATAAAATATCATTCTAAAAACAATACATTTCTCACTCCGATCAGAATATAAAAAATAATATATTTTCGAATATAGGGGCACATAAGGTTATGCGGTCGATTTCCATCACATAAACCTTGTGTGATAAATTTGTGTTCCGCTTATCATTATGCTACAACAAAGTCCGAAGTTTGCGCTCAACGATTTTCTATAATACCTATTGAATTATTTCCTAACCGAGTTATAATTAATATATTTAAATTAATGTNTAGCATACAATAATATTACATAAATCGTTAACTTTGAATAGTTCTACCTACCTACAAATTTAAAATAAAATGATAGGTATCAAAAGTATCAGAGCAACTGTTGTTATACTGTTGTTAACTGTTGTTGGAATGTAAATTTTAACCATATTCTTTGATTTAACTATATACAGAGTAATATGGTCGATTTCCATCACATAAACCTTGTGTGATAAATTTGTGTTCCGCTTATCATTATGCTACAACAAAGTCCGAAGTTTGCGCTCAACGATTTTCTATAATACCTATTGAATTATTTCCTAACCGAGTTATAATTAATATATTTAAATTAATGTATGTCTCGGTCTAGTCATTAGTATGTGTGATTTATTAAATTTTGTAAACTATTTAGAGTATATCGGAATTGATATAGGCGACGATGATGATAATTATATACCTACCAAGAAAGTATCTTCGTAAGGAATTATTTAATGACAACCAATTTTCTAAACAGATTACCGTTGCTGTTTTTCAAAACGAATTATACTTATTTGAAAATTTGTTTTAATTAGTAAAATGTCAATTACAGGAATAATCGTGGATTATCTATTCCTATTGTTCTACAATTATTGACTACCCTGTGTTTCTATGCTACGTCAAATTTCTAGGAAGTTTTACTTTAAAAAAAAAATTTAACTGCAAGGTCTTATCTACCGGATAATCCATTTAAGTGTCTACACAAATTATTTTTAAATTTTAAATTTTTTTGAAAATATTATTTTTATAAAATTTGATTAAAAAAGACATTTCTGAAAATAGTATATATGTTTAATTAATTTTTTTCATTCAAAAAGGTAAAACAATTATAATGATCAAAATAGCAAAAATATAATTTTTTTGTTAAATGTTGTCTCAAATTATGTAAACAAAATATTTTCAAAAAAGTTGGAGCTCCTAAATAATGAGTACCTATAGACACTTAAATGAATTACTCTGTATATAGTTAAATCAAAGAATATGGTTAAAATTTACATTCCAACAACAGTTAACAACAGTATAACAACAGTTGCTCTGATACTTTTGATACCTATCATTTTATTTTAAATTTGTAGGTAGGTAGAACTATTCAAAGTTAACGATTTATGTAATATTATTGTATGCTATCTGATCTTGGAGGAATTCATCAAAGTACTGTATTCAGAATTATTAAAAGAATTTCCTATCAAATAGCTACAAAACAAGAAATTACGTTAAATTTCCTTCAGAAAATGAGTGAGATATTGTTGAACAGAAATTGTACAATATTGCTGGAATACCTGGAGTTGGTGGTTATATTGACTGTACAGGGTATACTTATAAAGATACAAAACCCAGGTGGTCCTAATGGTTAAGTTTTTAAAAAATCATAAAGGATAGTACTCACTAAAAAATGTTCAAGTAACATTATTAAGTGTCATTTAAGTGTCTATAGGTACTCATTATTTAGGAGCTCCAACTTTTTTGAAAATATTTTGTTTACATAATTTGAGACAACATTTAACAAAAAAATTATATTTTTGCTATTTTGATCATTATAATTGTTTTACCTTTTTGAATGAAAAAAATTAATTAAACATATATACTATTTTCAGAAATGTCTTTTTTAATCAAATTTTATAAAAATAATATTTTCAAAAAAATTTAAAATTTAAAAATAATTTGTGTAGACACTTAAATGGATTATCCGGTAGATAAGACCTTGCAGTTAAATTTTTTTTTTAAAGTAAAACTTCCTAGAAATTTGACGTAGCATAGAAACACAGGGTAGTCAATAATTGTAGAACAATAGGAATAGATAATCCACGATTATTCCTGTAATTGACATTTTANATTACGGAGATATTGTTGAACAGAAATTGTACAATATTGCTGGAATACCTGGAGTTGGTGGTTATATTGACTGTACAGGGTATACTTATAAAGATACAAAACCCAGGTGGTCCTAATGGTTAAGTTTTTAAAAAATCATAAAGGATAGTACTCACTAAAAAATGTTCAAGTAACATTATTAAAAAAAAAAATTGATTACAAAAATTTATTAAACAAGTTTTTTCTAAAAAAATTTAGGTTTGTGTTCCTCAAATGATGTAGTGGCTCGAAGGCTAAGAAGTTATCACCATTTTATCTTTTATACAAATTGTGCTGCTTTTTACTGCTTTTATTTTTAAACCGTAGACACAGGCAGTATATACTTACTATAGTTTTACTTATTTGGTGATTATACTTCATAGGTTATGCTTGTAAATTATATGTATTTACTCCACTGCTAAATCCTATTACTAATCCAGAAAAAAATTACAATAAGGCTCAAATCAAAACAAGAAATATTATAGAGCGAGTTTTTGGTCTGTGGAAAAGAAAATGTCTTTGCTTAAAGAGAGGTCTAGCAAATTCCCCACTGACGATGGTTTCAATTATAATAGCTTGTACTGTTTTATACAACATAAGTTTAAGATTAAAATTACTTAATATGGGTGACAACGATAATGAAGAAGTTGAACTTGATGATCCCTTTAGAGGTAATAATCTCAACAAAGAAATCATTGGTGCTGCTGTTAGGAGAGGATACATGATAAGACATTTTTCTTAAACAATATGAAATAGATAGTAAAGATTTTAATTAAATATTTCATTATTTAAAAAATTAAAACATTAAAATAATTAAAATTATAAATTAAAATAAAATATTTAAAAATGAATAGTTAAATTTGAATTATTATAATAACAAAAAACAAACAACTACTTTTTAAAAGACACATATTGTGATAGAATGATTATAAAAGATAATACATATATATACAATATGTGTACATGATTTTGACTAGTTCATTTTTTAAACTTATTAATTTTTAACAAAAGCTTTTCTCTTTTTAATTTGTACAGCTCGTTTTCTTCTTTTCTTTTGGCCAATAAATTTTCAATCAAAATTTTTTGGTAATCAATCTGAAAATAAAAATTAACTGAATAAATCAATGGACCACATATATAAAAAAAAAAACATAGTTGTGTGGTTTTAAGTTTATTTACCTAATTTATTATATTATAAATTATAAATACTGGAGAATAAAATAAAAAAATAATTATGTTGTAAATATATCTAATGTAAACTTTAAATCTTAAAAAAAAATGTATTGGAAATACCTGTATTCAATATGTTGATAATATTAATTACAATAAATTGTGTATGTTTTGTTTTTCATTTTTAACAAATTTATAATTTAAAAAAATAGATAAGTAAATAAACTAATAAATCAAAATAATATTGAAATCTAAACTAGTTTCAATCAGATCTAAACTAACTTAATACAAAGGAAGGATATGCCCGATGACCCCAGGAGAAACCAAAACATGGGATAATATGAGCAACAATAAAATGAAAAAGTTAAAGTCATGTTCGAGGATTCATTAATAATAACTACAATGAAAAGTAATAGGATAAGCTGTGCAGGGCGTGTATGGCGAAGTCGAGAACCAGCTGGAAGTCGATGAGCAAAAGGCCACTCGGCTGTGCAAGATAAAGATGGATAGACAGAGTTCATAAAGACCTAGTCATACTGGGAAAAGTGAATGGCGAAGAGTTAGCCACGGATAGAAACAAATGGACGGAAGTGGTGGTTGCAATTAAACACCTGAATGGTCTATACTAAGCTATAAAAAAAACTAGCAAATTAAAATAATATTAAATAATTATTTCAGGTGTGCCTAATTTTCATTATTTTAGTCTCGAATAGCCGGATTTAAATTGTTTCTAATCTATTTTATCTAAATTATAAATATTGATAAACTGTGCAATAGACATTATTTTAAAGTATTTTAATACTTTTCTTGATATTACAGAACAGTGATTTATGCTGACTTTTTATTGATAGATTAAATACTTAGTTCTAGCTTAGAAATACTGATATACTACTGATTACTTATATCTAATACAATTAACATACCTGTAGCTTGTTCAAGATTTTTTCACTTTTGTAACAATGTAGGATTAACGCCTTCTCATCCTCAGTAATATTAGAAGCACGCAAGCGTTTCAATTTATCGTCCTTGCGGTTAAGAGACATGATGGATAAAACGGAAGTGAAAGCAACACGTCAATAACAACAACAACAACAACAAAAAAAGCCGGAAAATAAAATATACTCTAATACTCCGCTTTAATAAATTGTAATTGTTGATTATTATATTACAAATGTTTTTATTTATTTTGTTACTGATAACACTGATATGAACATACCGACATAAGCTTTGTCCGTTTTAACCAATAGTGTACAGCGTTTCATTCGAAGACGCGTTATTTGTTTGAAAAATGTGTTAGCTCAGTGTGTACACTATTCACAGTAAAAAATTAATAGGTGTGGAATCAGATTTTTGGTGTGGAACAGGAAATATTAGCTTGGTTCGTTTTAAAAAACGTTCAAGATTTTCATAATTATATCGCTATGAAATATGGTACTATGGTGTGACCGTTCACTCCCCCACCACAAAACTTGTAATAATGTTACCCCTGCATTAATTACAATATTCGAATTTTAGGCGGGAATAATAATATGTATTTATTTTGTTTATTTTATTTCTCGTGTATAACTAATTAATATAATATCATAAAACATGAATATTTTTAATAATCTATCCGAATTTTTTCTACAAGTCACCAGTCACCGCTGTGGGCTGGTCACTGCTGGGTAAATTCACTGATTATACATTCCGAATTTCTTGAAAGTGTACACTTTTTTACGTTAATCGGTAAAAAAATATTATAACATGATATTATTTTTGTTTTTTTTTTTTTTTTAATGTAATAATCAGTTATTATATTCAAAAATTTAAAACTGTTCTTTTTTCGGGATTCCTTTTTTACTTCGAATTTAAACTTTTTATTACATTTTTGATAAGGAATACATATTTATTTAAACATATTTATTTTTACTCGTACCAGTCACACCATCAAATATGTAGCTATAGAATATACACTATAGTATAAATTCTATGTAAAAAATATACACTTTTTGTTAAAATAAACAAACTACAGTACGTTTCACAAAACTAGCGACTCCGTAGTGGCGCTTCCGGTGGTGAAATTTCGGTGTTCCGCGGTTTCTTAAACTTGCACACAATACGCGGCAATTTGGAATACTGCACGGTTTTTAAAAAATATGAATAAAAATAATTATTTTATTTATTGTATAATTTATATGGTGGTTATAAAATGTTTGGCAGTGGAAGGTAAAATTCATATCAACAGGGCCAACTGTTCGATGGTTGATTGCCGCGTCATTTTTAAATTACTGCGCTTTTTTAGCCACACGGTCAGGAAACCTCACGGAGTCGCTAGTTTCGTGAAACGTACGGTAAGAACTATAAATGTATAGCTAAAATATATCGAATTAAGGTAATCCGTGGTGTAAAGCCAGTTTATCATCATATATTTTCTTATCACTATACGACCACCGATATGACGTGATTAAAAGATTACAATAAAAATGAAAATATTTGTCAGTACAGTATACACTAAACCGTAACAACGATGGGTAGTGTTGTTTTTAGATGAGGACAATCAACTGACTTTTCTATTTTCTACACCTGAAACGTTCGTTTTGAATTGGCACACCACAAAAAACACTCGTGCACTATAGTGTTGACACCAAGTTTTTAAAACGAACAAAGTTATAATTAAAAACGATTTCATTTTCATAAAATTTCCCCTTACAATGAAACTCATAAATACCGAGACTATGCAATAATACAATTTAGTATTCCCATAAGTTCCTTATGGACATCATAAATAATTTATGTAATACATCATAAGTTATATTGTGTTGACAATCAGATCAGAACTATGCAAACCGGTATTATAATATAAGATATAATATATGTGAGTAATGTTGATGTATTAGTTTTGATTATCTGTTGGAGAACCTCGGATAGAGAGTTAAAAAACACTTGAAGAAATCCGTCCTAAACAAATAAGGTAGTTGAAAAAATGATCCACTATGGAATCTGATCAAAGTTTAAAATACCTATTATATATGATAAATTAATAGCCCGTGGGCATCACGTATCACGTTCTTATTAGGAGAGACTGGGGTGACGGTGGTCACCTCGATATCTCAAAAACCAGCTGTAACTAGCTGCTGTTCACGTGAAAAGTTTTGTAAATAATTTTTATTCGGTAGGTACTCTGTGAACACAATTGAACAGAAATACTTGAAAATTTAACAGGGGGTTCATTATAAGTCGTACTTTATGGTAAAAGAAAAAAAAACAAAATTACGAAATATATTATTTCAATGATAAATTTCTATCATGCCGCGGATCGACCATTCATTTTTAATTAATGGTCGATTAAAATTAAAAATGTATGCAACACTCATCACGATAGCTGATTTGTCGTGATCACATTCACATCAACGAATAAATAATTGTGGTCTGTGACGGACCAGACGTACGATATGCATTTTGATATGCTATAGAATATCGTAGAAAAACATCATTGGGGAGGATTCGGGGATATTATTATTCGGAATATTGCCGTGTAATTCATTATTATAATATTACCTAGGTCTTATTATCTGATTTATTTTTAGATAATCGGTAATATGCGCGACGGCGGTGACGTCGTCGAGCTTAATCACGTTCTCGCACTCGCAGGCACATGTCGTAGATACGTATTTAAGTATTCAGTTATTTTTCGAATAGAAACGTGCCTCGGCTGTGACAAAATTGCGAGACTTTTGGGCTGGTGCGATTTTAATTCTGTACAATTTCAAATATTTCTTGACATCTCCTCTAAAGAACGGTCGAGGAGTACATTCAACAAACGCGAATTAATTCAACAGACATGACATGAACAAAAATATTATAAAAAATGAAATTTGTAATAATATTATAGGCTAAAGTATTGTCAATATTTCCAACCTCTTTAAAAAAGTGCTCCGACCGTTCTCCAGAGGGGATATTAAGAAATGTTATTATTTGTACAGGTTTCCAAATCGGACTATCTAAAGTCTCATAAACTTGACAGGTCTAAAAGCTATTTATTTTTTTACAGATTAGAACCACCTTAATTACGTTATCAAAAGCTTAAATATGATATGCGATAGTTTTCAGTTGAATATTTCCGTCAAAAAGTAGTTCTTAAAATTTTTAGGCAGAACTGACTAAAAATTAGTCTATTTCGAGTATTTTTTATGGTAAATTAATTTTGTTATATTTATATTTGTATTTTAATCAACAAGTTGATTCTAAAGATTACGTATCTCTTTATGTTCTGTAAGTTAGTCATCAAACTTAATTTTATGAATATTTTAATTAATAGTGTGAAATGGGGGAATCTAGTATTTTTAATGAGGTAATGATAGTCATAATTTACATTAAATAATTACCATTATCCCAGATGTAAAATATTACATCTATTACAAACTTACTAAATTTTTTAAATCTATTTTATAGGTATAATGTATAAATACATAATTGATTCAGTAGGAGTATGTTATTTTAGATGCCAAGATTACTAATTACTAACATTTACAAATTAAAATTAAAAAAAAAAAAATGTAATTCCTACTTAATATAATATATTATGTAACATAACTAGAAGACTGAGCATGTCAAATTTAAATTTAAGGATTAATTGTTATTCCCATGTTAATTATTATTCGATAAAGACTAAGTACCTAATAAATAGATACGAATAATAATACAAATTTATAATTTTTTTTTTAAGATTTCCCCTATTAATTTGCATTGTTATTTAAATGACTGTCATTCCCCTGATGTTGGGGGAATGGTGCAGGTCACTTGTACTTTTTTTAAAATTAAAATAATATACTTTCCACTAATTTTAAAATCTGAAACTTAAGTATGTTGTACCTAACAAGTGATATTTACTTTGTATGCATTGACTAATATGTTCGACTTAGTAGTAGACAGAAAATAAAGTTTTTGCTAAGGTGACTGCCATTATCTGGCCATTCTCTTCATACCTCCTCTGGCTCTTTTTTTATGTGCCGTTTTTATACCGGACACGTCAAGACTTCATAAACCAGTTGAAAGCATGATATAATGGATATATTCCTATTAAATAAACGCAGGTTTTTTACTAGTGCATAATATAGTGGATAGGTGCATATAATGCGCCTTGGTGTCGAGTTGCATCGGAACATATTTGTTAGGTCATCTACCTATGTCTTAGGCTGGCGTCACACGAGCGTACGAAATGCGCGCGTTACGGCGGTTGTACTTTTCAACGCGCGTGCCAGAGCGGGCACACGAGTGTTGATACGACGTCCGTTGAAAATAATTCTAATTGTATTATTGCTATTTATTTGTGCATTTACCATATTACCAATACTAGTTGTAAACGGTAATGTCATACGATTCATTTTTACGGTTCTTAACGATGGATACACATGATGTTTTTATTTTTGGTTTCTTAACGTATTTGTTCACTAAAACAAAAACAAAACATAGAAAACAATTGGATTCATCCAAACGGTCTTTACCGGCTGTATTCCAGAAAAAATTCATATTTTTAGACCTCAATAATTAACAGATCGTTCTCTTCACTGACGGCTATACTTGACATTTAGAAAAGAAATTGAAAAAAACGTCCAACGTGTAAGTTACAGTACGAACGTTTTGTAAATAATTTCGGGTTGTAGTTTTGTTCATTTCAATACGTCCGGTGGCGTGCCCGGAATGGGGGTCGGGGTTAGGGGCTACATCCCCCCCCATTGGCTTGAAAATACAACAAAATACGAGTAGTGTAATATCGAAACTCATGAATTTCTACCGATCTCCGAGAAAAAGCTCGATGTGTTGATTACAAAATTGGCTTATTTAACGGGGATCCGGCTTTTAAATAACCAATTCTGAATTAGTCGAGTTGGCCAGGGAAGGCGATTTTACTCTTTTCTCACGGTTTTTGTTCGTTACGTCCACTCCCATTGAAAACACCCGGGCTCGCCACTGAATACGTCCGTAATTCGTGCGCACGTGTGTCCACTTATATTTGAACAAATATAATTGTGAACGCGCGTCGATAATTTTCCGACGCGCGTACTAGGAAAACTACGTCGATAAGAAATCGACGTCCGCACGGACACGCGTTATTTTTAGCGTCCGTTGCTCGTGTGTCGTCCGATCACGTAACCGATCACATTGTATTTATACAACGCCCGTCGAAAAGTACGCGCGTACCGACGCGTTTTGTGCGCTCGTGTGACGCCGGCCTTTTACTGAATTTTCGTTTTACGCGTGTGAACTCTCTGTTGCACGT